TCCCTTTCCTTCCCTCTTCAGCTCCTTCCTGCATGTGGTCCTTTTGTGTCCATCCAGGTCTCTGTTCCTGCCTCTGGCCTCCATGTGCCCTTGGCTCCTGCTGCAGTCATAGTGGCCACTCTGGGGCTCAGGGAGTTAGCCTCCTGCTCCAGCCCTGCCCTGGCCTAGGCCCAGTTGGGGAGTCTGGGCTGGCACTGCCCCGCCCAGGAGGGGGTCAACAAGAGCCCCCAGGCTCTCACCCCTTGTCCCCCATAAACATCAGGGACTTGCCAGGAGGTCCGAGTGCTGGGTAGGGGACAGAAATCCTAGCAGAAGGATGGTGCCTGCTACTCAGGAAATCCTGGGGGCCAGAGCTGGGTTGCTAGGCAGAAGGTCCTGAGCCTGGGGCAGAATGAGGTAGCTTTCTCTACCGGGGCGGTTGGACTGCAGGGGAGGGGAGGTTGGGGGAGGGAGGAGGGGCAATGGGGAGGTACAGACTGAGAAGAGGAATTAGGTCAGGGATGTGGGTGGGTGGGCACGAGGGGAGGGGGCATCTGCTCCAGAGCTTCCTCCTGGCTCCAAAAGCATCTCCAACACTTCCCTTCCTCTCCCCCTCAACCCAGGTCCTGGGAGAATTCTCCCCGGTATTCCCCCTCCCCCACGCCCTCCCCAGGGTCCAAGCATTGCCACAGGGGTGGGGGGTAGGGTGGGGGGAGGCCAGCCTCAGCTGTCTGAAGGATGGAGGGGCTGGGGAAGTAGGGCTAGGTGCCCAGACGGCCGCGTGTGTGGGAGGGGATGTCCTCAGATGCCCTCCACCCGGCAGTCCCCGCTCTGACGTGGGTGCCCCCCCCCTCTCCCGCCCGGATTAGTGGCAGCTTGGCCTGACTCTCCGGGGCTCCTTCCCCCGCCCCGCCTGTTGCCCTCCCCTGGGCAGGGGGCTGTTCTACCCGAGGGGCACTGTGCTTGCCCAGGTAAGGGGCTCTGGGGACAGGGTGAGGGCAGCTGGCTCGTGAGTGCTGCTGCGCTTGTCAGCATGAACGTGTGTATCAGTGTGTGTGTGTGTGTGTGTGTGTGTGTATGTATGCTCGTGAGGGGTCAGTGTGAGCCCAGGGTGGGCCCAGGCGCTTCTGGGGGTGCTGGTCAGCTTGCTTTTGTCCATGAATCCAGCATTGTGTCCACGCATGTGTGGCTTTCCTTCTGTGTTTGTATCTTTTGTGTCTCCTTCGATCCGCTCTGTCCTCAGGCACAGAGCAGCCGGCTACAAGGGCTCTGTGTGCCCGTGGCATGGGCTATGGGGCAGGATGGGAAGCCAGTGAGGGTGGAAAGGGTCTTCTCCCCCGACCCCTATGACCCCCTGGGCATTTCAGAAGCCTGTCCTGAGAGTCCAGTTCTAGTTCAGAGACTGACCTGACAAAGCAGACATGGCAACTGGGGGTGGGGGGTGAGGTGTGGGGGGATGATTGTCCTGCTCCCCTGGGACAGTCCCATCTCCTTGGGGATGACAGCGACAGGCCGTCAGCGCCCAGGACAACCCAGGCTCCCACCCTGCCCTGCCCAGCCTCTTCTAGGCCCTAAGCTGAAGGAATCTCTCCCTAGACTCTCCCACAAGCTTCAGCTGCCAGAGGACACAGATGGGGGACCACAGGCACACCCCAGCCTCCCACCCCCCCCAGCTGCACCCTGGAGCCAGCCTTGCTGGGGACACGGTCTGGACCTTGGCATTATGGTCCACATTGGGCCCTCCACGGACATTTCCCCTGGCACACTCAGGTCCAGGCCACCCCTCAGGGGAGCTGGGGGAGGAAGGGAGTGTTAATAACTAAGTCATGTAAACAACCCCTACCAGCCTGCCCTGCCACAGAAGCGGCCCCCCGGGGGCAGGTGGAGGGGCTGAGGGAGTCGGTGCCAACAGGGCCAAGTCTTGCCCAGCGCCCCTTCGGGCCTCCTCTTCTCCAGCCCCCTCCTCTACTCCTCAGCTGGTGAAAGGATTCCTCTCCTCTCTTTGCCTCTCTCTTCCTTCCAGCTCTTCATGGCTCCCCCTCCAGGGGTGGTAGAGGGATGGTGACTTGGGACCAGGCAGGAGGCATCTGAGAACTCATCCCGTCAATGGGATGGGGTTGGGTGGGGTGGCACTGCCTCTGTCCCAGGCTGGGTGAAGGCAGGCCGGGGATGGCTTCCACGGGGAGGCCGGGGAGTCGTAGGGTGGGAGGTGGGGGGCCTGCAGGGAAGGGAAGCGCCCGTTGGGCGTGTGGGTTTCTATGTGTGTCTGAATCTGTCTGTGTGTGTTTGAATCTGTCTGTTTGTGTCTGTGCTCTGGAACCACCCCCGCAGAGGAGCCGGGATGCTTCCCCGGGTGGAGGGTGCCCTGCTTTCCCATTTCCTCTCCTCCTCTCTGCTCCCTCCCAGGAGCCACTCCCATGGGCTCTTCTCCAGTGCTGGGCCTGGAAGCACTAGGAATCAGGATGGGGCAGACCCTCAGAACACTGGGCTAGAGCAGGTGTTGGGGCTCATCTGGTCCGACCGCCTGTCTGGACAGTTGGTGAAACCTAGGCCCTTAGAGTAGGGATAGACTAGAGCCCAGGTCTCCCCAGAACTGCTAAGGCAGTACCCGGGTTCACTATTGGGCCCTGGAAGGGGTCTTGAGTCAAGAATGGTGAAGAGCAGCTTGGCTCCCTGAGGATGAGGCAGGGCAGACATGGGCCAGCGGGTTGTGCCCATGTGACAGAACCAAAGGACCACAAGCAAGTGTTCCAGGAGGCACAGGGTCGGCTGGCGTGGGTCAGGCGCCCATCACTGACCCGTGAGAACCCAACTGCCCCTGCCAGCTCTGGCACTGCCCCCCTCCCAGCCGCCCCGCCCTAGCACCCCGGGGGGCACCCCGCCCCACCATGGCCTGGTCCGGCCCCTCCCGCCCTTTGCTCCAGTTCCCGGGCTTGGCACCTATAGTGGGGGTGCTGCCCGCCTGCCAGGCTCCGGGGCCGGGCCCACGGGAGGGTGGGGCGGCTGGGAAGCTGGCACGCTGCCCCGGGGGAGCCTCTCTCGGCAGGCGCCCGGGTGCCGCGGGGGGGAGGGGGGAACAAAGGGCTCATTCTCCCGGTGCGCAGCCGGTGGCATCGCCGGGGCGTTGGCGGAAGCCCCCGGGGCCCGGGAGGGGGCAGGCCCAGGCGGGGCCGCCGAATCACGGGCTCCTGTTTCCCGCAGGGTGCTGGAGGAGGAAACCGGCGGAGCAGCTTCCCTACTCTCAGTTGTGCGTCTGGCGATGGCGATGAGAGGTCCTGCTGCGCTGTCCGCCGCGCTCTGCCTCCATTAGTCGCACTGCGCGGTGCTGCGCCCTCGCTGGTGCCTCTCTCCTGGGACCCGGGATCGGCCCCCACTTCCAGGCACGACCCCCTCCCCCGGCCTCTCGGCCTTTCCCCCCCCTCCTCGGCCTTCTCCGACCCGGGGCGCACGTTCCCCCCGGCCCGGCTCCCACTCTCCCTCCGGGGGCACCCGCTCCCTAGCCCCGGCCCGGCCCTCCCCGCGGCGCAGCACGGAGTCTCGGCGTCCCATGGCGCAACCCACGGCCTCGGCCCAGAAGCTGGTGCGGCCGATCCGCGCCGTGTGCCGCATCCTGCAGATCCCGGAATCCGACCCCTCCAACCTGCGGCCCTAGAGCGCCCCCGCCGCCCCGGGGGAAAGAGAACTCGAGCGCGCTGAGCGGAGAGCCGGAGAACGCGTCCTCGCTCGCCGGCCGGGAGGCCCCGGAGCCGGCCCATGGGGAGCGGGCGCCCGGCGCTGGCCACGACGACCGCCGCCGCCCGCGCCGCGCCTGGCCCGGGAAGCCCAGGTAAGCGCCGAGAGGGGGCGCCAGGGGCGGGCCTTCTGGGGACACTCGTAGCTGGGCATTTCTGAGCCGAGGCCCGGCTGCCCGCAGCGAGGGAGTTCCCCATGCTTCTCCAAGGTGCTGCGCCACAGGTCTGAAAGTTAGGATGCCCGACGGGGCTGGACCGCGACGGAGCGGTGGCCTTAGAAAACCCGAGCGACCTCTGTCATGGCTCCCTGGGCTACCTCCCCTCTCTCCTGGGGCTTCAGCCAGCCGGCCAAGGGGGCCGCGCTGGGAGAGCGCTGCAGCTCCGGTGCCACCTGTCACCCTAGTCCTTCGCACGCACGTTCAATTTTCCCTCCTTTGCCTCTCTCTGGGGCGCAGCCCGCATTCCCCGCCTCCTTCCCTCCCCCTGCCAGGCTGCAGTTACCAGCGGCCGCCAGCGGCCCTGGCACTGCCTGCTGGACTCAAGCAGCTTGACCTGTCCCAGCTGAGGCCTCTTAATCCCCCCTCTCCTGTGCTGGCTCCCTCCTTCCCTTGGGGGCTGTGGTGGAGATCTCAGCCCCCAGCAGTTGTCCCCGGACTCTGCTTCCAAAGCCAAGAAACCATAGAGAGATGGGAAGAGACACACCAGCGACTGCCCAAGTGTAGGGAGAGTTACCAGCCAGCAGCCCTGCCAGGAGGCTCTCCCCCGGTGACTCCAGCCCATCCTGCCTGTGCTTCCCACCGGTACAAGCTTGAGTGGAGCTGAGCGCTGGGGGTAGGCAAGCAGTAGCCCCTGGCCCCACAGACGGCAATGTGGAAAGAGGCCTCCGAGAGACTGCTGGTTTCCAAACCCTATTTTACACAAGGCCACACGGAAGCCCAGAGGAGTGATATGACTTGCCCAAGGTCACATAGCAGGTGCTGAGTCAGGGCCGGGATCCTGCCTTCTTGTCCCCAGGTGCAGTAACCTCCAGCGACCTCAGCTTTTTGGGGTCTCTCCCCTTGGCCTGCCCCATGGCTCGTGCCCGGGATCCAGACCCATCCTGCAAGCGGCAGTCTATGCCGAGGGCCTCTGGCCCAGGTGGGCTTGGGCATTTGGGGCAAGGGCTGACCGCCCCACACTCGAGCATCCCACCCAGGCAGGTCCTTCGGGTTGCATGTGGGCAGGTGGTGTGGAGCTGAGCTGTAGGCTGGCACTGGCCTTACTGGTTTGAGCTGCCTTGGTGCTGCAGGGCGGTGCCCAGCTCTGCACCGGGCGGTAGGGTGCTTGGGGCACATGCTCATGGTGTGTTGGTTATGCTCCAGGGACCCCCTCTGGGAGAGCCCCATGAGGGCAGGAGAGTGATGGAGAGTACGCCCAGCTTCCTGAAGGACACCCCAGCCTGGGAGAAGACAGCCCCCGAGAATGGCATCCTGGGACGGGAGCCGGATACCCTGCCACGAGATGGTCTGCGCCGTGGTGCACTGTGCCTCGGAGAGCCTGCTCCCTTCTGGAGGGGTGTTCTAAGCCCCCCAGACTCCTGGCTTCCCCCTGGCTTTCCCCAGAGCCCCAAGGACACAATCCCACTGGTGGAGGGAGAAGGCCCCCGAAATGGGGAGAGGAAGGCCAGCTGGCTGGGCAGCAAGGAGGGGCTGCGCTGGAAGGAGGCGATGCTCACCCACCCACTGGCCCTCTGTGGCTCGGCATGCCCACCTCGTTATGACCCCCTGATTCCTGAGCATAGTGGTGGCCATCCCAAGAGCGACCCTGTGGCCTTCCGGCCCTTGCACTGCCCCTTCCTTCTGGAGACCAAGATCCTCGAGCAAGCTCCCTTCTGGGTGCCCACCTGCTTGCCACCCTACGTAGTGTCCAGCCTGCCCCCAGAGCGTCCGTGTGACTGGCCCCTGGCCCCACACCCCTGGGTGTACTCAGGGGGGCAGCCCAAAGTGCCCTCTGCCTTCAGCTTAGGCAGCAAGGTGAGATTGTTGGAGCAGAGTGGGTACCTGGGGCTTAGGCCACACAAGGTAGCTGAGTGTTCCCTAGCAGCCACGCCAGGCCACAGTGCTCTGCTCTTCTGTTCTGACAAAAACGTCAGATGGCACCCCTAGTAGAGGAGCCTGTCAGCTCAGACAGCGTCACCCCAAGCAATGCCTCCTCCTAGTGATTCCATCTCACCAAGCCTTCCCCCTCTTTGGGCCATTTCAGGGACTGACACACTCATTGTCCCCCCCAGAGCAAGGCCCTGGGAACTGCGGTTTCTGAATATGTGGTCTCATCCTGGAGCTTGGGGGTGGGGCAGACAAGGCCCTTTATCTGGCTGCGGGATGTGGCAGGTATCCCCATGGCCTGTGTCTATGGCACATGTTCCCCCGCCCCAGGCAACCCACCCCCTTGCCCAGGAATAAGATTTACGCTATTTGAAGACCAGTATGATACTGGTCATCAAACGGTCTAAACAGATCCTTTGGTGGTGGCAGGCTCTGACCCTTTAGCTGCTGGATTGTTTGGAGGTCTGAGAAATCCCAGGGAGGCCCGGGAGCAGGGTAGCAGGGCAGTGGGGAGGCGCTTAGGGATCAGGATCTGGAAACCAGTATTGAGTTCCTCAGTGTCTTCCCGACCCTTCAGGCCACACAGGCACATACCAGCTGGTCATCAGGTCTGTCCATCCTTTGAAGTGCTGGGATCAAAGTCAGCATGAGCTCTACCCCTTCTCCTCTCTTTAGGGCTTTTACCACAAGGATCCAAGCATTCTCAGGCTGGCAAAGGAGCCACTGGCAACCTCGGAACCTGGGCTGTTAGGCTTGGCCCCTGGTGGGCATCTCCAGAGAACTGGGGAAGCGGAACGTCCTTCATTCCACCAGAGAGATGGAGAGGCAGGAGTCGGCAGACATCAGAACCTTTGCCCATTTCTGCTGGGGCATCCGGATGCTGTTCCCCGGACCCCCTGGCCCACTTGTTCCCCGGGCCTGGTTCATACTCTCAGCAATGTCTGGGCTGTACCGGGGGGTGGGAGCCTTGGGTACCAGCTGGGGCCATCAGCCACATCCAGGTGTCCCTCTCCTGGGCCTCCTACCCCCCAGGGAGGCTGTTGCTCATCTCATCCACCTGCTAGAGATGGAGGTCTTGGCCCTTGTGGGAAGTGCCAGGAGGGGGGTGCCATCGGGCCCAGTGAATCCAACGAGGAAGCGAACAAGGCATCTGGTCCCAGGGCCTGCCCACCCAGCCATCACACCAAGCTAAAGAAGACATGGCTCACACGACACTCTGAGCAGTTTGGGTGCCCAGGGGGCTGCCCCGGGGAGGAGGAGAGCCCCCCTGCCCAGCTGCAGGCCCTCAAGAGGGCAAGTAGCCCTGAGGGAGCAGGTGGCAGCCCAGCCGCCAAGCGCCCACCCGACCCTTTCCCAGGCAGTGTGGGCCAGGGAGCCAAAGGCTGGCAGGAGATGCTGGAATCCTCGTTTGGGAACAAGGTGGAGGCCTCACAGCATACTAACCACAGAGGTAAGGGTGCAGAGGGCCCTACCTGGGAGGGGGCAGCCAGGACTGGGGCTTTGTGGGGAATTGGGGTCGTTGGGCCCTTTACGAGGGGATCATACAAGTGGTCTGGTTTCCAGCCAGATGTGATGGTTCTCTGGGAGTTCCTTAGCATCTACAGGCCAGAGCAAGTGGCTTCTTACTTCCGTCGGCCTTCTCCCAAGCTGTGATGTGTCTGTGGCATTGTAACAACACCTGGGTCCTGACTTTGCTGCCTGGTTCTTTGTGACCTTGGGCCAGTTACTTCACTTCTCTGGGCCTCAGTTTCTTCATCTCTAAAATGGGGCTAAAGATGGCACCTGCCTTGTAAAGACTGCTGCAAGATGAAATGGTATAATTCACATCAAAGACTTTGAAGAATTCCTGGCGCTGAATTAAGTGAGCACTTGGCAAACATTCATCTTGGTGACTGTCTGTGCTACATAGCCCCGTCTGGGGGACTGTCCCTCCTGAAGGACCCCTTGTCCTGCCTTAGGAATGAACAACTCCTCCCTAGGCCAGCCGGATTATGGGAACTCATTTTGGACTCGGCCAGTAGTAGGACTTTGGAAGGTGCCTCCTGGACCTGCTGTCATGCTGTGCTCTTCACGGATGGTTCTCGGGCTCGACTCGGCTCAACTGTTCAGGGTCATTTCAGTTTCTTGGTCGAAGCTTCTGGATCGAAGCCCCCAGGGGCCTTGCCCAGGCACCCCTGCACCTGGTGTGGGTCTGTCTGTGCTCTTGCAGGCCTCTGCCAGGGCTGGGAGGCTGTTGGCCCCTCTCCCTTCTTGGGTTAGTGCACCTGTGGCCTGTGTTGAAACTCTCCGGCCTTCTCACCTTCTGGCACCCTCCGTCCTATGCCCGGATTGTCTCCTCACGCTGACAGGCGGTCAGCGATATCACTAAGCCCACTGCGGAGCTATCCAAAGTTTGCATCGACTGAGGGACGCCTGGCTGGCTCAGTCAGTGGAGCATGCGACTCTTGATCTCAGGGTCGTGAGTTCAAGCCCCGTGTTGGGGCATAGAGCTTACTTAAAACAAAACAAAACAAACTTGCACTTAGAGCAGGGTGATGGCCCAGCGGCTCCAGCCTTGGACAGCAGACCTCTCCTCTTGGCCATCAGGCCACATCAGGGCATTCAGAGGCTCCCCCACCCAGCCCTTCCTGTGAAGGTTCTGGCTGTCTGGTTCACTTTTACTAGCTCCAAATCTGGCTCTGTAGACCAGGGCCTAGGGGCTGGGCTTGCTCTACCTGTGGGTGGGCTGGGCGCTAAAGGCAGGGCCTGGGGCTCCCATAAGCTCAGGAGGCCCAGACCCCTGACCAGCTTCATTGCCTCCTCAGGACCCCAAGATGGCAGGGCCAGCCTCCAGGACCCGGGGCTTCATGACACATCTTGTTCGGCTCCCCTGGCAGGCACGGCTCGGTGCCAAAGCTGTGCCCATGCAGCTGGAGAGGCGGGAGGGCTGGCCCGCCCCTCCCAGCAAGTAGCGAGGTGAGCCTCTTGCCCCTGGCTGCCCCCAGCACCCTCCCAGTCGGGACTCCCTCCTTATCTTCCTGTACCCCGTCTCCAGATTGCCTCTGGGAGGGGAGCAGCCACAGGAGGAAGACTCTGCAGCCTGCCCTGAGGAGGGAGGATGGTCTGGCCCTGAGGCCAGGCTCAGCAAGGGCCTCGCCAAGCATCTGCTAAGTGGTTTGGGGGACCGACTGTGCCGCCTGCTGCGGAGGGAGCGTGAAGCTCTGGCCTGGGCGCAGCGGGAAGGTGAGCAGGACACGTGGGGCAGGTGGGAGCCGGGGAAGGCTGGATCCTGTGGTCACTGTGCTTTGACACAGAGCATGGGGCCTGCAGAGTGTGGGCCCCTCCCTCCCATTAGCACAGTCCATCCTGGTACCAGCTCGAGAGAGCTCCTGCCCTGCTTTGCCCTTATTCCTGGCTTAGGCTCCTAGGCGACAAGAGTTCTGAAGTTTGTTGCCGGGGCAAGGGATGTTGGGAGGGTGTGACACCTGGTCCAGTCCAGCTGCCTGAGAGTTTCTGGGTTTGCTGGGGAAACAAGACAGAGTGCCACGTGTCTTCAAGGGCATTGGAAGGTGGGGGCCCTCCCTGCTGTTTGGGGCTCATAGGCCCTGGGAGGCTAGTAGGGTCTGGGCCGATGCAAAAAGACGGGTGGGGTGCCAGCCATTCAATGGGCCCCTCTGGCTTCAGGGTCTCCCTCCTATACCCTCCTACAGCCCCGCATATGCATTTGAAAATGTGTGCACGCCCCTGCAGGAAGGTCACAACCTGGGTAGGAGCCCCTTATGGCTCCCTCTTGTCCCAGAGAGTCCAGTCCCTTCCCCCTCCCCTCGGCCAGTCTAGTCTGCCACTCCCTCAGCCTGGATTCCCAGCACTTCACATCACCGGCGGCCCATCCTCCTCGGCTCACCCCAGCTTGTCCATCCCCTCGGGCCTTGGCACTCTCTGTTCCTTCTGTCTGGAATGCCCTTCTCCTCCCTTTCTCCCCGATGAATGAACACTTACTCATCACTTGGGGCCCGTGTCTGTTGCTGCCCCCAGCATCCCCACCCTAGTCATTCTATCCTAGTCTCCTCCTCCAGCACTCTGGAGTACCATGATCACTGCCGTGTTTGCGGACCCATCTCCTCTCTTGGAATGTGAGCCCTGGGAGGGCAGCTCTGAGCCCTGACCCGCGCTGAGGTGCCAGCACTCAGCCCTGCACAGGACAAAGTGTTTGTTGCATGAGTAAATGAACGCATGCTCACTGGTGTCCTTCCACCGACCGAGGAGGGCTTAGTCAGAAACTCTGGGTGAGGGAAGGAGTGGCCTCCTAAGGTTCCCTCTTCTGGTATTCAGAGTCTCCTGAAGGGACACCACCTCGGGATGGAGGGAGGTGGGTGGAGGACTGTGTTGGAAATGGTGTGGATTGGTAATTCAGGGCCGATGGGGAAATCCTTGGAGCAGGAACTGGGGAGGTGAGGCCTGCACTGTTGATGGGAGAGTTTTCTGGAGACAGTGCTATGGGGAGGTTCTTTACAGAGGCTGTCTGACAGGGGCCTGTCTCCCTTCTGGGGTGCCCCCACTGTTCCACTCCATCCCTGCCTGGAGGTCCTCAGAAGGGACCTGTGGTCTGAGCCTTCTCTGACCCTGTTCTCTCCTGTGGCTAACAGGCCAGGGGCCAGCCAGGACGGAGGATAACCCAGGTGTTCCTCGCTGCTGTAGCCGCTGTCACCGGGGACTCTTCAACACCCACTGGAAATGCCCCCACTGCAGCCACCGGCTGTGTGTGGCCTGTGGTCGCATGGCAGGGGCTAGGTGGGCCAGGAAAGCAGGTAGGAAAGGAGCTGGGAGCTGAAGGTGGGAGGGCAGGGATGGAGGCCTGAAAAGGGCGGCTCTAAGGTTTGTGGCCATTTCTGGGCTGCCTTTCCCCAAGAAAGCCTGGCTGCCAGCTCCAGCCTCAGTCACCATGGCTCAATGCCCCTTAGAGCAGACTTTTCCCTCTCCCCAGTTCAGAGGGTTACACCTGTGTCCTTGCCCACCTGTAAAAGGAGCCGAGTGCCTACTCTATGCCTCCCACTTTGCTTGGCTTGCACCTTTTTAAACCTTACAACACTGTGAGGTGGTTATTACTGCCTGCATTTTTCCAGATGAGAAAAACACAGAGGTTACGTGACTTGTTCAAGGTCACACAGCTAGTAAGTGTTGGGTCTAGGATTTAGACTCAGACCTTCCGATCCCAAGTCTTACTGTTCTCATGGTTCACAGCTTCTTCTCCCTTGGCTCCACTTAGTCGCCTGAGGGCTTAAAATTTCCCAGTGTTCCCATAGAGGTAGCCAGAAAGAGTTCCAGGGTCAGAAGCATTTGAGAACACTGTATTCTACAAGATCATCTTGGAGTGTGGCAACGAGTGTCAGCATTTTAAAGGCTCTGCACTCTGCAAGCTAAGGATCCTATGTGATTCTTAAACCCAGGTGTCCCAGAAAGCCCGTGTTTTATGGATTTATGGATTGTCGAGTCCCTCGATTTAGATGTCATGCCCTTGCCCTTCTTCACCAACCTTAAGCTGTGGTTTTCTCGGTTTCTTGACTGCAGCTTCTTTCTTCCTACCCCACAGGCCCTCAGGAGGAGTCCGCGGAGGAGTGTCCCCAAGAGGCCGGGCATACTGCCAGTTCCCTGACGCTCACCCAATTCGTTTCCAGCCAGGGTGAGCCATCTTGGAGGGGTGGGGTGTGCAGAGGGTGGGTCTCGGGAGAGAGTGGCTTCCTGTCTGGATGTGGCTTAGCCCAATCCCATGCCCTGCTGCTTGGCGAGGCCCTTCTGTCCACACTCACTACCAAACTCCGTCTCCCCTCCCCCACTCACAGCCTTGGCAGAGTTGAGCACCGCCATGCACGAGGTTTGGGTCAAGTTTGACATCCGGGGGCACTGCCCCTGCCAAGCGGATGCCCGGGTGTGGGCCCCTGGGGATGGGGGCCAGCAGGTAAGAAGTTGGGCAGCACTAGCTGGTGGGCCCCCAGACTGGGCAGTGTGTCTGGATATTACTCGCAGAGTTTGGCCCTCGTCTTTTTGGTGGGGATGAAGGACATGGATGCTGGGTAAAATCAAGGTCCTTCTCCCTCTCCTTTGGGGATCAGGATCCATGGAGGGAGCTCTAGCATCGGCCCCACCTCCCTCTCTGCTTGCTCGGAGCCTGCCCCCTCTGTACGCCTTCCAGCTCAGCACTTGCCCCATCATGCTGGAGCTGCTCTCTGGCGGGCCCTGTCTCTCCACTCCCCAGGCCCGGGCTCCCGCGGGCGGAGTACAGACCCGCCTTCTCTCTATGCCCTGCTTTTAACACAGAGCAGGCACTCAGTGTGCATTTTACAAAGTTTTTATAAAGTTCACGCTTTTTTTATGAAACTGATTCATTCAAGAAATAGTTTATTGAATGCATTTTGCGTGCCAGACCCTGGTACATAGCCATTATGGAAAATACAACAAGTATAAGGAAGACGACAACAGGCTAGAATGGTACCGTTATCATCTGGATGTATTTCTTTCCAGTCACTTACCTCTGTATTTGTTCCGCTTATTTTTGTGTATTTTAGATCAGTACTGTGTGTGGAATTCTGTGAGCACCTTTTCCCCACCTAATGTTGTATCACAGAACCTTCTGCTCCCTGTAAACCCAGTTTTGCTGTCTGTTGTTAACTACTGGTGGGTTGAATTGGATTGAACTCTCTTTGCCGTTTTTAAATCTCTGGTTGGATTGGGGGGTGGTGGATGGGTTTCATAGAAGGAGCCGACAGAGAAAACTCCCCCGGTTCCACAATCTTCTTGCAACGGGGATACCGACAGGACCAAGGACATCAAAGAGGGTGAGCAGCTCCCCTGGCCCTTGCTTAGACTGTCCAGGGAGGCTGGGCTGGGCTTGGTGTCCTGAGGACAGACTGGAATGGCTTCAGCTCTCCTGCGCCATCCCTAATCTCCATCACTCTTCTCAAGTCATTCCAGAGAAAATAAATCTAAAAAAACTGTAGGACAAGCCCCCTCACCCATCTCCAGTCAGACTCCCACTGTAAGCCCCTCCTTGGGAGAGGTTCTGGAAGCTGCCGGAGGCAGGAGGTGAGCACCTCCAGAGCAGTGAGGAGAGAGACTCAGCCAGGAGATGAGGGCAGAGCCTGTGGGCAGTGGAGCCTCCAGAGAAAGGGGAAGCCCCTCACCGTTTTCCTCCCTGCCAGAGACCCCGGACTCCACCGAGACCCCAGCAGAGGACCGTGCTGGCCGAGGGCCCCTACCTTGTCCCTCTCTCTGTGAACTGCTGGCCTCCACTGCTGTCAAACTCTGCTTGGGGCACGAGCGGATACACATGGCCTTTGCCCCGGTCACTCCTGCCCTGCCCAGTGTGAGCAAGGGCACAGAGGGAGGCCTGGGGGCAGAGGCTGGGCTGGCCCTCCCTGTGGGGTAAGGCAGGTCCTGAGTTGTCCTGCCCCTCCGTCCTTCCGTCCACGCAGGATGACCGCATCACCAACATCCTGGACAGCATCATTGCGCAGGTGGTGGAACGGAAGATCCAGGAGAAAGCCCTGGGGCCTGGGCTGCGGGCCGGGCCAGGACTGCACAAAGGCCTGGGCCTGCCCCTCTCGCCAGTGCGGCCCCGGCTGCCTCCTCCAGGAGCTCTGCTGTGGCTGCAGGAGCCCAGGCCTCAGAGAGGCTTCCGTCTCTTCCAGGAGCACTGGAGGCAGGGCCAGGTGAGGCTCCTTCCTCCAGGCCCCCAGTTCTTCCGGCCCCGCTTGCCCTTGGAGCTTAATCTGTAGGCCCAGGCAGACCGGGTCTGTCACCCAGAGTGGGCAGCAGGGTTGGTCCCCACGTGGGCCTGGTGTCCCCTACAGCACGCCCTGGCCTGGCCAAGTTGGCTGCCTGTCCACTCCCCCCGACATCCCTCTACCTTTCCTTGATACAGCCTGTGCTGGTGTCAGGGATTCAGAGGACATTGCAAGGCAACCTATGGGGGACGGAAGCTCTTGGGGCTCTTGGAGGCCAGGTGCAGGCACTGACCCCCCTCGGGCCTCCCCAGCCCACAAGCCTCCACAGTACAACGTTCTGGGAGGGATTCTCCCGGCCTGAAAGTAAGTGTCCCTGATGTGGGGGGAGGAGGAGCTGGGAGGCTGAGCCAGGTGGCAGCGAAGTCCCATGGTGACCCTGGGGAGGGAGCCAGAAGCAGAGCCCGGGGCTGAAGCTGAACCCTCTTGCTGCCACGGGGCCGGGCCCTCTGGCAAGGAGGTTCCTTCCCTGGGGCCAATGGCATGTCTCCTCCCCTAGTTCGCCCAAAGTCAGATGAGGGCTCCGTCCTTCTGCTGCACAGAGCTCTGGGGGATGAGGACACCAGCAGGTACGTATAGTACCAAAGGGAAAGGGCTGGCCCCATCTCCTTAGCCTCTGCCCAGCCCCTTGCCCTTACTTCCCCTCCTCCTTCGCCCCCCAACCCCATGACCCTCTTGCCTCTGGGAGTGACCCCAGGAGGACTGGGCTTGGAGGGGATCTTGGGTACCTGGGTTGAGCCTGCTGGGCATGGCCCTCCCCCCTCCAGGATGGAGAACCTGGCTGACAGCCTGCCCCTCCCCGAGTACTGTGCCCGCCATGGGAAACTCAACCTGGCTTCCTACCTCCCACCTGGCCCCGCCCTGCGTCCACTGGAGCCCCAGCTGTGGGCAGCCTATGGTGAGTGCCCACTCTGCTCTTGGCCGGCCCCTGATCCCATGCCTGTTACTTCTGGGCGCCTGTGTGACCCGCCGGTCCCTTCTCTGCCTTTGCACAGGTGTGAACCCACACCGTGGGCACCTGGGGACCAAGAACCTCTGTGTGGAGGTGACTGACCTGGTCAGTGTCCTGGTATGTGCCGAAGCCCCACCGCCTGCCTGGCACCGGGCACAGAAAGGTGGGTCCCGGGCCGGAGGCAGGGGTTGGACTGGCCGCAAATCTCGATGTGCGGTTTCTTCCCCGCCACCCCCGAGCGCCCCCTTAGCTCTTTGTCTTCCACAGACTTCCTCTCAGGCCTGGACGGGGAGGGGCTCTGGTCTCCTGGCAGCCAGGTCAGCACTGTGTGGCACGTGTTCCGGGCCCAGGACGCCCAGCGCATCCGCCGCTTTCTCCAGATGGTGAGGAAGGAGCTGGGAGTCTTCCCCTTCCCCTGCGCTGCCCTCGTGCTCCCTAGAAGTGGGGGCTCCCAGCCCCCCGAAGCTCTCCCTGTTGTGTGTGCCCCATGTGCTCACTCTCCCCACCCCCCCAGGTGAGCTGGACGGCCTTGACTCACACAGAGAAAGCAGCTTGGGACCTTCGGAGTTGTGTGGTGGGGCACACAGAAAGAGCTGGGGCTGAGCAGGGACCTAAAGGTGACGCGAGAGCAGAAGCTGGTGCAGGCTAGGCACTGTGTAAGGGCCTCGGGTACACGATCTTGATTAACTAGCACAGCCACCCTGTGTGGCAGGCGCTGCTGCCTTCCCATTTTGCAGCTGAGTAAACTGGGGCTGAGTGCAGAGCTGAGACCTGAGACCAGATCACAGCCCTATTTCTCCTGGGGACAGACAGCCTCCCCTGCATGGGCTCCAGGTGGCAGAGGGGGAAGGGAAGCCCGTCTGAGATATCCTCCTCCTGCCCCCTCCTCCGAGATCTACATCTTATGAGGGGGTGCTCTTTGGGATGCTAGCAAGTGAGGGCTGAGGGAGGCAGCATGGGAGGTAGGAAAAACTGGACCGAGGAGGGAAAGACTGGACCAAAATAAGGGGCAGGGAAGGAGAAGATGAGGGGATGAGCAGGAGGCGGGAAGCTCCATGGGGCCGGGGAGGTGGAAGGTCAGTATTAAGGTTAGAGCAGATGCAGTGGTTCCAAAGTCCATCTCAACCCTGAATGTCCTGGGAAAAAGACATCCACCAAGGGTCACTGCTGCTGAAGATACACGAACACATACACAGACAGGCTGGTGTTACCACAGCTGTCCACCACCACCCTCCTGCCCACAGGCACATATATCTGCAGACACACTGACAAGCACACAGTTTTTGCCGGGATCCGTAGATGTACACACAGATGCTGGGACACGCTGAAGGAAGCAGACAGAAGCACACCTTCATACACAGATGGCCTCATCTGGTCTGGGCGGGTGGCCCTTAGGCAGTCTCACAGGGCCGGGCCTGATGACTCACAGAGAAGGTTTGAGGGGCCTTTTCTCACTGGGTGGCCTGGGAAACACCAATAAGCTCCAGGATGGACTCTGAGGGCAAAAGAGCCTTGGCGCCTGCCTGGGGCCACCCTAGGGTTCAGCCTGGCTCACTGGCCTCCCCTTCTCCCATGGGCCAGTCTGGGAGCCCTGAGTCCTAAGCCAGGGACAATGACTGAGGTCCTACTGAAGGGGTGGATTTGGCTGGTGGCCAGGTGGAGGGTGACGCTGGCCTTGACCTCTGTGGGTACTCCCTGGGCATCTCCTTCTGTAGCTCCCATGAATCCCTGTCTGCCCCAGGAGCGCCCCACTCCGGTTGGGCTGAGGAAGGCCCCCCATACCCATGCCTGCTTCGGAGGCCTCAGCCTGGCAGGCATCTACAGGGCATCAGGGCTTCTCTGTGGCCTTTGCCAGATCTGGGATCTTAGAAGAATCTGATCGATGCTTTAGATGGCCCCCTAGGGTTGTACAGCTATCTAGTGGCCTACAGTTTAGCACACGATTCAGGACATTCGTGGGATACCAGGTTAAGAGTTCCTGGTACAGACAGCTTATGAGTTCAGTTCATGCAGGGTATCTTTTCTGGGTTTTTGGAGACAGGGGTCCAGGGCCAGGGACACAGAAGTTATTCAAGGCATCTAGTCCCAAGAAAAGTGGGGGTTTAGATCCCCAGCCTCAGAAATCTCTGTTCTGCCAACCTGAGCAGCCCCAGCCCCTTACCACCTAGCCCTTTCTCCCACCCCTAAGACCGCCCCCTGCCTATCCCTCGAGGCTTGACCACTTCCGCTCTTAGCCTTTGCACCCCTGGCCTTTGGGAAGTCTACACCCTGCCCTGTGGCCCTTTCCTCATTTCCCCACCTTGCTCATTCCCCCTTCTCTTCTTTGAGGTGTGCCCGGCTGGAGCAGGCAACTTGGAGCCTGGCACCCCAGGCTGCTGCTACCTGGACACAGGGCTGCGGCGGCGCCTGCGGGAGGAGTGGGGCGTGAACTGCTGGACCCTGCTGCAGGCCCCTGGAGAGGCCGTGCTGGTGCCTGCCGGGGCTCCCCACCAGGTGCTTCCCCAGTGGGCCAGGGGCTCTGTGGAGCGCTCAGACTATGCGAAGCGAAGCGGCCAGAGCAGACACCACACTGCTACAGGGGTCCCCTGCCCCTCTGGCCTCGCCCCTCCGAGTGCCCTGAGAGCAAGGCAGGGCAGGAAGTCCTGCCCCACTGCAAGGAAGAGGCGAAGCTGAGCGGTCCGGAAGTCATCTAGCCCTACTGGGCTTCGTGTCCTCTGATGCCCACGCTGCCTGGGCCCTCTCTGGCCTCCCCTTGGCCTGGTTTTGGCCATGCCCTTTGAGGTCCCTGCTGCTGGATCCAGGGCTCCACTCTCTGAGAGTTGGGTGGGGGTCATCATGGGAAGTAGACCTCGGGGACAAGAGGGACAGCGGGAGGATGCCTGAGCCCGTGTCTCCACTGACCTCTGCCCACCTCCTTTCTGGCACAGGTGCAGGGCCTGGTGAGCACCGTGAGCGTCACTCAGCACTTCCTGTCCCCAGAGACCTCTGCCCTCTCTGCTCAGCTCTGCCACCAGGGACCCAGCCTGTCCCCTGACCGCCGCCTGCTTTATGCCCAGGTGAGGGTGACACTGGCCAGGAGAGCAGCTGGGATGGCACGGCAAACCCACTCTGGGCCAAGCAAGCCGCCAGCCTAGGCCCAGAAAGGCCATTCTTGGTGGGAAGAGCCCCGGGATGTGACTGTAAACACCTTGTCCTTTCTCTTTCTTCTAGATGGACTGGGCTGTGTTCCAAGCAGTGAAGGTGTCCGTGGGAACATTACAGGAGGCTAAATAGGGGAATCCCGGAGGGGATCTGGGGTAGGTTGGGGACAGGTAGACCAGGTGCTCAATCCCAACACAGCTTCAGGAGAGAATGACACTGGGTCTTGGGGACTTTTGATCAATCCCTCAGGCACCACTCTGGGCACAGGCAGGGCACCTTGTTCTCCGCTCCAATCTGGGTCCTAAAGCCAACAACCACAGTGCCACTGAAGCCCACACCTGCCCTTCGCAGGCCAGCACCTGCTCTGTCCCTGCACCCCTCTCCACACCTCCACGCTGGGGGTGAAGGACTCCCTCTGACACCTGCTCCCTGAACCCAAGAGACAAACAGCCTTTCCTTGGGGGACCTCGGGAATCATTCTGGCTTAAGCAACACCTTCTGCTGCCTCATCCCTGCTGTCCCACCTGTGCCCGAGCGCTGCTTACATCACCCACATCTTCACTGGGCTCCAGGGTGGCCCTTCGCACTGCAGGCTTGCTGGACAGGGGGCCGCTGAAATCCTGCCCTTTTGCCAGACAACAGTGAAGTTGGAGGGGAGGGGCATCAGGAGACTGCCCAGGCTCGGCTGGAGGGAATGATATGGGCGATGCCGTGTTCCTGCTCCCTCTTCTCGCCTCCCTCCTTCATGATTTCCATTAAAGTCTTGTTGTTTTGTGAATGCTGCTGGAGTGGTTGGCCTTGCTCCTGCAGGCCACGTGGACTGGGGAGGGAGGGGAGACAAGGAAATGGAGTGGGGTTGGGGGACTCGATAGGGACCTCACCCACTCCTGCCTGCTCCTCTTCCTGGGGCCTGGATCCTTCCCGCTGAGGAGCAGATGGAACCTTCCAGGGGTCTGCCCTGAGGATGCTCCTGGCAGCAGACTGTGGACAAGACAGAGCCCTGGGGTTCAGTGGCATGGCAGCCTTCCTGTGCGTGCTGGGGCTACAGAGATCTGGGAGCCCCAGCCTGCCAGGGATTGCAGGCTACCCCAGCTCTCCTGTCTGACCCGACCTGAAGCTCTGGGAATGTGGCCCAGAAGAGCTCTTGCCTAGCCGTCTGCCCTCCGTGCCCATGGCTGGCCCCAGTCCTGCTTCCCAGGGACTGGCTTGCTGCCTGAGACACTGGACAGCCCCTCCCCACCCCCGGGGCCCTCTGTGCGGCTCTGCCTGCTCGCCTGCCCTTGTATATCGCAGTGCCAGCAAGCTGCGACTCTTGGGGTACCTAACTGTTCCTGCAGTGGTTTGGGGAATGGTGTTTTTTATGAAATAAAACTTTTTTATTATAAATTTCATAGACTTTCAGAACATTTAGAAAATAGGAAAAAGTCACTTGTAAGTTCATCTCCACTCAATCCCAACCCAACCACTATTAACATTTTGGTGTATTTCCTCGTATTTTCTCCAAGGAGTTGTTTTATACATGACTGAGTCGGTCTGTTTTGTACTCGGTTTCTTCCTTTTGACACTGTATTGTGGTCATTTTCTGTGTTGCTACCTAACCTTCATTTTAAATGGCTGTTTGTGTTCCCTTCTGTGGCTTCGCTGTGATTCACAGAACCATCCCTCATTTGAAAGAAAAAAAAAATCCGGTTTCTTCATTGTTTGCAGAGCTAGGTTATTTTCATATTTTCATGGGATAGAGAAAAAAGAAAATCAAGGAGCTCCTACATTTTACTCTGTCACTGTTTTCATTTAACCAATCTTATTTAACCCCTTTCCATGATTTTGAGGTAGACATTATTTATTTATATTTATTTATATTTTACAGAAGAGGAGAGAGACAGGCTGGGGTTAAGTGAGTCACCCAAGGTCACACAGCAGTTTTAGCAACAGAATTGGTGTTTGAACCAAGCTTTCTGACTATAGCCTCATTTACATTAGTCTCAGCCCTTCACAGATTTTGCAGATGGGCTTGCTGTCCTCTCTGTCCTCCTTCCAACACAGACACGTTATAGCTGATTATGTTCCAAGTGGCACCGAGTGACTCTTCCCTATCTACATTTCATTTTATATGGCTAATTTCACCCCAAAACCCCAAACATAGGGTCCTTCTCGTGGGAAGACAAAGATGGCCCAGTCACCAGGCCTCTCTCTTCTCCACAGGCCTCTCCGCCCCGCCTCCCATCTCATGGCAGGCCACAGCACCCTTAAGGGCATATGGGGTCTGACTCTTGTAAACAGCAGGTGGACCAAATGTTCCAGGACTGGCCCTGGGCAGGAAGCCAGTCCAGGTGGAGACTGACCTGAGACACCTGGGGGCACCTGGTGGCCCTCTTCCTCATGGAGGCTCAGCTGGTTCACCCCTAGGCGAGGACTGCCTTTGGGGCCTCTGCTTCTCCCAGCATCCCACTGTTCACATTCTGCTTCTGCCTCTCTCACTGGTCCACATGTCACCAAAGCACCGCTCTAAGAGCTGGAAGTGACTGCAGCATGTGGATAATCAGTGCCGAATTTTTCCTTGTCCTTTTTTTAAAAAAAATATTTTATTTATTTATTTGAGGGGCAGGGGCAGGGGGAGAAGTGCGGGGGAGGGGTAGTGGGAGAGGGAGAAGACACCGCCTGGCTGACCAGGAAGTGAGACAATGGGCTCTATCCCAGGACCCTGAGACCATGACTTGAGCCAAAGGCAGATGCTTAGCACACTGAACCACCCAGACGCCTCTTTTTTCTTATAAAGTACGTTTTTAGACTTTTGATTTTGAAATGATTTTAGATTTACAGCCAAGTCACAATACAGTGCAGAAAGTTCCTGATTACCCTTCCTCCTGCTTCCTCTCCTGTTAACATCTTACACAAAGATGACACAGTAATCAACACAAGAAGTCCTTATCCATACACTATTAACCAAGCAGCAGGGCTTACTGGGATTTCACCAGTTTCCCACCAATGTCCATTTTCTGTTTCGGGATCCACCTAGGGCTGCATCTTACAGATGGCCTAGAGGGCAGACGGGGCTCCCCCAAGTTCCTTCAGCAAGCTAGTGGCAGGGCACGGGCTGAGCCAAACCTTCCCCTCCCTGCACCTTGGGCTACTGCCCTCCTCACCCTCCTGCTTTGCAAGGGGACTGCGCCTGTTGCCCGGTGGAGGCCTCTAGAGTTGACGACGCCCTTGCCCCACCCTGTCTGCCCATTCCCGGCCCTATTTCCAAGGCTGCCTACACGGCCTTCCTGCGCATGCGCTCACACGCGTGTGCGTCCACATGCTCGGAAATGGCTGCCTCCGGGTTTGCTCCCGTGGGCGCTGGGAGTACTGTACAAGGCAATCTACCAGTCCGGCAGCTCTTGTCCATCAGGCCACGCAGCCCACCCCCTCCCCCCAACCAAGCCGGTGCTCCACCCTCTCTGGGAAGGGAGGATGCCGAGCGAACTCTCACGGAGAACTTCCTTTGTTTCTGGTTCTGGAGGCTTCTCCTTTGGCCCCCTTTCCACCCTCGGCTTCCCCTATGGGTCTTAGGACCTCTGCTGCCTCAGTCTGATGTGTGCTGTCTTCCAACCAATGCCTTGAGAAAGTCTACTTTGTCCTGTTTCCTTCGGCACTCCCAGAAGGGCTGGGTACACCGCCTGGAGGGCCCTCTGCCTGGGCAGCCCTTTCAGCTTAGACGGGGCTTTCCTGTTGCCTCCTGTGCTCCTCACCACAGGGGTGATTAGGTCCACTTAACAGGGGAGGAGTGCTTTTCCCAGTGATATGGGGGAGTGAAGCGGGGTTTTGCTGCAGTCTGCTCTTCCAAGCAGTGTGGTGTTTATCTTAGGCTGCCTCTGAGGCTCTCAGAGCCCTGCCAGACATGACCTCATTCTCTCTCAAATCATCCCTGGGAGGCAGAAAGGAGTCTGAGACCAACGCTGTCCCCACTTCACAGATGTGAAAACCGATGTGCAGACACTCACACACAACAAGTATGTTGACAGGTCGCTCTGCAGTCCCCAGGGCCAAACTCAGCCCCATGAGTTCCAGCGTTTGGGAGGAGAGGGGTCTTGGATAGGGCTGTGGTCAGCAGTATTCACCAAGTGGCTCAAAAGCTTGTGGGCCCAGCAGGGATGCCCTACCACCTACCACAGGGCCCTGCCCCCAGGGAACTTGCTGTCAATTCCCTATGTAAGACGGGCCTGAGGAGGCCAGTCTGGTGTGGCTGGAATTCCTGAGGGTATAGTTGGGTGGCGGTCCTGTAGTCATATTTCATGACAGTGGGCCTTTGTGTGGCAGCAACAAGTGCTGTGGGCCGGAGGGCTCCCCTGAGGGCCAGGCTGCCTGGTCACCATGACCTGCACTGGACAGTCTACAGAGCTCCTCCTATGATGTCTCACCTCCCCAACAACCCTGTGGAAGAAAGGCTATTATGAGCCTAGTCTACAGATGAGGAAACTGAGGCCCACAACTCATCCAGAGGCTCAGAGCCAACCAGTAAGCTGTGGCCGGACATCTGGTTCCAAGTCCAATGCTTTGTCTACACCTTCCCAAAAGGAAGGTGCACCAAGCTGGCAAGAGGGAAAGGGGAGACCCAACTGAGGTTGAGGAGCCCAGACTTGGCTGGCTTCACAGTTTCACTCCAGCTGGCCCTGCATTCCTGTCCTGACAGTAGGTTAAAGGAAGCTCTGAGGAGGAAAGGTCAGTCTGGGAGAGAAGTCGGAACTCGCCAAAACAACCCACACCCTGCTCTCAAAGTGCCAGGCCACCAGGTCATGCGAGCTGGGTGTGTGTGTGTGTGGGGGGGTAAAGATGAAGGAGCAGGACCTGGTCCCTGCCCTCCCAGGGCTCTCAGTCTGCAGTGGAGAACGCCCTAAAACTGCGTGGGAAATGCAGTGGACAAGGGGCCAGGGTACCGATGAAGCCTGGGCTGGCTGATTCCAGGCCCAAATCCCCTCCTCCCATGGCCAGCCACACCTTGACCATCCCAGCTCTGCTCTCTCTCTCCTCTGAGCACCTGTCACACCTCTTGCCCAAGCCATTCATTTAGCACTTGGCTTATAACCCTCAGTTGACTTTTTATTATATATTTATATCCACCTCCCCAAGATCAGACTCTCTTCAAAGGCAGGAGCTAATGTTCCCCCTGCCATGGTGACATGCGGTACGTTTTTAGTGAAGAAAGGTTATTTGGGAAGTGATTGATTTGGGCCATGCCATGGTAGGTGTATGACCAAAGTTGAACAGTAGGTCCCAGCCACGGCCCCAGGCCTCCGTGATGTCATCTGGGTTGTTGTGACGTCATCGTCGCTGGCCACAGTGGGGCTCTGCAGCCTGGAGGCAGGATGATGTCATCGTCGGAACCCACGCGGACAAGTGCTTTCCGGAAGAATTAGCGAGGCTGGTGGCTAGCAGCGTCCAGAGAGAGAGGCGGGGGTGGAGGGGTAACTGATTAAAAAGCAGAAGCGGCTTGGCGGCGCCCACCGCCCAGGCCGGGCTCCTAACCCACGGACTGGCCCCGCCCCCGCATTGACCGACGCGAGCCAGCCAATCCGGGCAGGCCGCGGTGACGCGTAGCCTATCAGCGGACAGGGCTCGCCGGGCGCTTCCGCATTCTCGAGCGCTTCTGGCCAGAGTCGGCGGGGGAGGGGGCGAGGGCCGCGGACCGCTGTCGCACCCGTGTCCCACCCTACCCTGCGTGGCCGGTCTGCGGGGGGCCCGTCTGCCGTCTCCCAGGGGACCCGATGGCCTCGGAGGGCCTGGCGGGGGCGCTGGCGGCGGTGTTGGGGGGCCAGGGGCTGAGTGTGCACAGCTGCGACTCGGAACCGGCCGGGGAGCCCCTGGCGCCTGTGCGGCTGCGGAAGGACGTCTGCTACGTGGTGCTGGCCGTGTTCCTCAACGAGCAGGTGAGCGTCCGCCCGCCGGGCCCGGCGCCCGGCCCGCCGCAGCGCGCAGCCAGCCCCGATGGGGACAGAGGAACTGCCGGCAACAGCCACCACTTAGTGCGTGGTGCTTCCCAGTATTGCAAAGCACTCTCACTCACACTTAACATCTGAGCCTCGAGCGGCCCAGCCCTGAGGTTGTCCCTCTATCCTGAAGAGGCATCTGAGGCCCAGGAGCCTGTTCATTTCCTCCCACTAGGCCTCAATGTCTTGAGAGGAGGCCTGTCTTATTCCTCTTTCCCTGGAATCTAGCACAGTGCCTGCCGCTAGTGGGCCCAAAGATCTGCCCAGTGCCTCGGAGACCTCCTCTGAGTCCCATGGGCAGTAATGGCATGACCTGTGCTTCTGTCAGACCTTCTGTCCCACTGTGTGGTGCTCTTTCGGAGCTCATCCTTGTGCAAGCTGCTGCAACGACAGCTAGAAGGGGCCAGGGCTTTGGGTAGGAGCTGTGTGGGGGTGGGGTGGTGTTTCAAAGCCCAGGCCCCAGTGTGAGGCCCTGCCACAAACAGTTTGTAAATCACCAGGGAAGATGAGAGATATACATAGAGACATATGGCATCTAGACATGAATCAGTGCAGGACACATGGCAAACCTCACCATGGGGCCTAATCCCTAGCCCCTGAAACAGATCCTGGGAATCTTAGCCCCTCTCTGAAATGGAAGTCTAAATGCAAAGAGGGATACATTGGAGAGCGAGACAGCCGCGAACCCCAGGCACACAAGGGCCAACTCCCTGGAGAGCTCGACCGTTTGAGGTGTGCACCAGTAAGGGGGTTTTTCCTGACTGTATTTGAGATGGGCTCTAACGCCAGGGCTAGGGAAGGTTCCCAGCAAGGATCCTCTCTCTCCTCTTAGGATGAGGTGCTACTGATCCAGGAGGCCAAGAAAGAGTGCCGTGGGTCTTGGTACCTACCCGCAGGGAGAATGGAGCCTGGGGAGACCATCGTGGAGGCACTGCAGCGGGAGGTGAAGGAGGAGGCCGGGCTGCACTGTGAGCCTCTGACATTGCTGTCTGTGGAGGAGCGGGGCCCCTCCTGGATCCGCTTTGTGTTCCTCGCTCGAGCCACGGGTATGGCCTGCCTATTTGGCAGTGTTTGGCCGGGGTGGCCGGGGGGCGAAGTTTATGGCAGTGTTTGGCCGGGGGAGGGGGTGGCAGCTGACACCTTTCCCCCAGCTTGTCCTCTAGTGAGATGAGCCCCTAGTCTGTCTGGTACAAGCCTGGCATCTCCAGCCTGAGGATGTGACTCCCAGCCCCTACCAACGCCTACCAGCCCCTACCCTGGGGTGGGTCAGGGTTCGAATGCCTGGGTGGCCATTTAATCTGCCAGACCGGGCACTTCTCTCAACAGAGACCCTTTCCCCCACCCCATCCTCAACATCTCCTCCAGGTGGAATTCTGAAGACTTCCAAGGAGGCGGATGCAGAGTCCCTGCAGGCTGGCTGGTACCCACGAACCTCCCTACCCACTCCGCTGCGAGCCCAGGACATTCTGCACCTGGTAGAGCTGGCTGCCCAGTACCGGCAGCAAGCCAGGCACCCTCTTCTTCTGCCCCAGGAGCTTCCCTGCAATCTGGTCTGCCAGCGGCTCGTGGCCACCTTTACAAGTGTCCAGACAGTGTGGGTGTTGGTGGGCACAGGGGGGATGCCTCACTTGCCCATCACTGCCTGCAGCTTCACTCCCATGGAGCAAAGGGGTGGCATCAAAATGGCCATCCTGCGACTGCTACAGGAGTGTCTCACCCTGCACCACTTGGCGGTGGAGACCAAGGGGTTGCTTGGACTGCAGCACCTGGGCAAAGACAATGCAGATGGCATCTGCTTGAATGTGCTGGTGACTGTGGCTTTTCGGAACCCAGGGATGCAGAGTGAGCCCCCAAAGGTTCGGGGTGAGAACTTTTTCTGGTGGAAGGTGATGGAGGAAGACCTACAAAGCCAGCTCTTACAGAGGCTTCAGGAATCATCTGTTGTCCCAGTCAACAGATAGGAAGGTGCCATCGTTGTGCAAGGAGCTGGGCACCTGTGCCCCCCACCCCACCGCAGCCCTGTCTTCCTTTGGGGAGGCAGGAGGTTGGCAGTCAGGGGTCTTGTTGCATTGGGAGCAGGTGATTCTCCTAGTTCTCAGGGTAATTTCCTTCTCTGTGGAATAGGTCCCTACAGTGCACCGAAAGGACAGTGCCTTTAACCAAACAAGAAGGTCAGAGCTCAAGGACCTAATTGCCCTGTGGGCAAAATGAGGGCACTACTCCCTAAGGGGATGTGGGAACTTTCTGAACCTGAGAGGGCATCTACTTGTCATTTTCCATGCTTGCCTCAGTAAAGGCCTACACCTGGATTCTCATGCACTTAGAACACAGACTTGGGGTGCTGGGGGAGGTTGTTCCAAGGGAGTGGGCTCCATGCTGAGTAAATAGGTGGTTCTTGCTTTGCCTTCCTGTCTAAATATCTCTGTGGGGAGGAAGTGAGCAGGAAGGGGGGGACTGCATCAAAAAAGAAGCTCCTCCCCTTGTCCCACCACAGTCACCCACGTCTTCCCAGACAGCAAGCGGGTGTCCCAGACTGCAGGTGACTGGGGCGGGCAGGCTTCCTGCCATCCACCATAGCCTCTGTGGCCCATTGGGGCTCTTTCTCTGGCCTGCCCGGGTTGGATGTGTCCACCTCCCCTCCAGGGTTTGAACTGTGAGAACACCAGAAGCTTCAGGTGGGCAAGGGGTCATATAGGAAGAGTCTTGCCTCTTGGCAGAGTTCCATCTCCTTGAGCTTCCTTGTTCCCTCCCTGCATCACTCTGCTGGCCTCCAGGCTCCTGCCTTTCTACAACTCCAACCCAAGCCCGACCATCCCTTTATTCATTTCTGCTCAACCCAGTAGAATCATGATAAAAACTCTTTTTTAAAGAGAACTTTACTAAAACTTAAGGGAAAACCACAGGGAGTGGACAAAGAAAATATACTGTGTGCTACTCACTGCGTGTAATACAGATTTCTGGTTCTGAGCAAGGGAACACTTGTCTAGGCTTCCCTTCTGAGGTAACTCCACTCTGACACTGATCGACCAGGATAAGGCTCCTTTCCCTTCTTGTGCCCTCTGAGGACAAACATCTCCTACATGATGGAATCAAACACTTTCTCTTTGGTTCCCTTCTCTTAGCATCTGAGGGACCCACCAGTCCATAACCCTGTCGAAGGGCAACCTTTGTTCTCACTTTATTTAACCTACTGTGGTTTTCAACCCTGCCCATTAGAATCGCCTGGAGAACTTTAAAAACAACTCTGGGCCCGCCCCTGAGACACCGATTCCACAGGTATTGTGAAAAGCAAACCGAGTGATTCTGACTTGCACAGAGGTAAGAGGCGCTCATCAGCCCTGTCCGAGTTTTCAACTTGCTGTGTCCTGGAGTTGTCTCAGCTACCTTCCCGAGGGCTTTTTAAAACAGGAGGTCCACTAAAGCATTCACACAACTCACAATGTAAACACCCCAAAATGAGACTTGCGTACAGATGCTCCAGATGGCCCCTTCTTCCCCCGTGTCTCCAGGGCTAGCTGGCTCTCAGCTGTAGGTAAGCTGGGCACAAAGTGTTGCTTGGCCAAGAAAGGGCCTGGTTCCTGGCAGGCGCTGGGGAACATCAGATGTGCTCTGCCAGAGCCTGTCTCTATTTACCACCCCCGTCGCTACCCCCAACCCCCGACACCCAGCACACCATCTCCCTCCGCTCCAGTGCTGGAAAAGCAGTTGGTCTTTCTTGCGGTGGCAGATGGGCCTGAATGAGCAGTGGAGTCCCGCACAGGAGGACACGAAGGGTGGAGAACAGGGCTGTGTCTATGCAAACCTTTTATTGCTGTGTCGTCTGGGGGCACGTCTCAGGGGGACACAAGGGCAAATGCTGAAGGGGAGGGAGGAGGGGAGTATCTGGGACCGGATGCTCAGCCGTTTTCGGACTTGAGGAGTTCAGACCCAGTGTGCCCTGTGAGCTGTGCTCTCCTGTCCCACGCCAACACCCACGTGTGCAAACACACATGCACACACATGCACGGTGTCCTTCAGAGCCGCGGCCGCGTCCTCCCCAGCTTGGAGGAATGCAGGAGAGGGAGAGGTCACCGAGTTCCTCCTCTTCCATTTCACCTCCTGGCAACCTGCGGCTGGCTTCTAGAAGCGGCACAGGCAGGAAAAGGAAGCGAAAGGGGCCCTGGCCTGCTCCTCCTTGCCCAGGAGCGAAGCCAGCAGCTGCAGTCCCGCTGTGAGGTAATGCCTGGCGCCGCCTGTGTGTTCCTGCAGGTTGAAACAGATTCAGGCCGGGTGGGGTGGCAGCCCCAGCCATGAAGGGCACACAGGGAGAACAACACTACGACTGGCTGCCGGGCCCCAGCGCCTCCCCTCCAGGCCTTGGGGGCCTGGGGTCAGGTGGGCATCCTGGCTGCGGTCTGTCCCAAGCTCCCCAGCTTCCTGGGGAGAGGAGTCCATCGAGGACGCTGCAGGCTGGGTGGAGGGCTGAGGGCCGGGCCTGGCCTCCCCCAGTCTCCAAGCCCCTCTGCCCAGGTGTCGAGGACCTGCCGAGACGGGTTCAGAGGCGCCAGGGAGAAAACCAGCTGGAGCTGGAGCCTGGCACCCAGCCCCCTGCCCCCCCTTCCCAAGCCCTCTGCCGCCCTGGCTGCAGTCGCACCAAGGCGCTCATTAGCAGCTGCCCCCGCCCAGGCTCGGAGCACGCTCTGGCTCTCGGCCATGAGGCGGTTGGGAATTTTGCAACAGTCTCCAGGAGGGCTGGGCAGGGAGAGTGGGCTTCCCCTGCCATCCACTGCCCCTTCGCCACGGATTAAGCCAAGAAGGCAGGAGAAAAAATGTCAAGTTTCAGTAGTGTCTGTGGTACCCGGCATGACAGAGACAGGGCTCCTTCGTCCCCATCTCTCTTGGCTTACCAAGAGACTCACCATTGTGAGTCGTAACCAGCCTCAGAGCCATCACTCACTCCTCTCTGTGCCCTGGAACTGAGCCACAGGCCTTGGCCCTGGCCATGAATGGCCCGTAGACTTGGGGGTCAGGCACAGAACACGTGAGGGTTTGGGTCTGGGTGCTCACCTGGCGATTACCCAGCTCCCCTGAGAGGGCCCCGAGGACACCATGCTGTCTGGGAGGCCATCTCTTTTGCTCCTTGGCTTCTGGTACCTTGGAGACCCACTCCCTAAAACCAGTCTCGTGTGGCTGACAGGCCAGGATCTTCTGAGACCACCTGGGAGCGGAAGCCCAGGCCTCCCCAGAGGCAGAGGTGCCTGGGATGCAGAGAACATGGAGCCAAGTCCCAGCCTGGGAGGCAGGCAGTGGCGGCGGTGCCAGGTGGGAGGCGGCTCTTGGGTCGAGGTGTGCACAGAAGTCTCCCTTCCTGTCCTGCTCCTGGCTCAGACGTGCCCTTCTCGGGGAGGGGAGAGGTGCGGGTGAGGACCATGTGGGGGGAACTTGACAAAAGCGATGGCAGCCAGCTCCTTGCAGAATTCCTCAAGAACCACCACGCCCTGGAGGAGAGTCTGGTGGTCCAGCCTGAGGGAGACAGCACGGCGGTAGTGGGGTCACAGCTGGGAGGCGGTGGGAGTGTGCCCAATATGACATCCCAGTGTCCATGAGGCACATTCTTAGCGGCAGACACCCTGAGTGAAGATGGAGCCCAGCAACAGGCCCTCTTTGCACCGCTGGCCCATGCTCCTCTCACTCTTCTTGGGCAGTCTGCCTTCCCATCCTCAGGCACCCATCTCCCTCAGTTACTTACTGCTCCCCAGGGACCTGACCCATCAGCTGCTTGCGCACCAGGAGCAGTTTGCCCGAGAACTGGGGTACCCTCTGAATTCTCTGCATCAAGTCCCCGATCACCTAGAGTGGGAATGAGACAAGGCTGGGGTAGGGGCTGGTGACACTCATGCAGGGTCCCCTAGCTCTGCCGCAGCACAGTGGAGGTGAGGGGAGTGTGTGCCTGTGCATTCCCCTGGAGCTGTCTGGAGTACCCACTCCTGTGGCTTCCACCCCGCCCCATCCGGATCCCCTCCCTTCCTGCAGCCCCACTGACACACACCTCTGGGCTCAGGCATCCTTACCCTGACGAGCACAGAGAACAGACTCCTGCAGCCAGGGGCCAGGTTGATGTAGGGATCCAGGAGGTACTCGTGGATAAGGGGGTGGGGGAAGAGGGCAAGCCGGGACAGGACTGAGGTCACTTGCAGGTTCAGGCTGTATGGCTGTAGGGAACACAGTGGACAAGCCGAGGGTTGGCAGGGGGCCACGAGCATTTTTGCACTCCCCCAGCAAGGCGCCTGGCCAGTGTGAATGTGTGCGGGGGTGGGAGTCTCACGTGATGTGTGTGTGTGTCATGGATTCCCTGGGGCTGAGGGCCAGAACATGTTAAGGCGTGTGGAGCAGAGGCAAGATGGGGCTTCCCACCTGGAGAAGGGGGAGGGGTGGGGGAAGGGGATATGGAGCTGAAGAACCAAAGAGGAATCTAATACCCACCCCCACCCCCCACCAGGGCACCTGCCTGGAGTTCTCCCATGGGCCCTCACCCTGTAGCCGGGGCCCCAGTTCCATTGGCTACCTGTTCCAAAATCCGGGACATGCGGTCAAACAGCATTCGGAGGAAGTGACCCTCAAAGAAAGGCCGTTCAGGCTCATGAGGGTCCAGGGGTGTGGGGCCCAGGGGCCAGCCCCAAGGGGCAACTCGGGAGCTGCACTCCTGGAACTGAAACAGGAGTGAGAGTTGAGGAGGTGGGCCCAGTGGTCAGGAGGCTCCCGAAGACTGAGGGAACCACGGAGGAAGGATGGACTCGAGGCTCTTGGCCGGAGCAGGGAGCACCTTGGGCAGATCACAGAGGGAGAAGGTGGAGTTTATCAACACTCCGGCTTTGAGGGACAAGAAGTGGGCATTGGTAGAGGCCTCAACACTCACCAGTCCATAAGCATCATGGACGTATGTGTCATATCCGGTCTCTTCTAGGAAAGCTGAGGTCTTGGCTTCCTCAGGAACCAGGCAGAGGAAACTGAGACACAAGACCCTAGGTGAGGAGGGGCACTGGCTGGGCCGCCCTGCTCCTCCCCACTCCACCTCCATCTCTGAGGGAGCACTGCCTCCTGGGCTGCGCCCCGTCCCGGCTATGGCCAAAGACAGAACAAACCTCAAGTGGCTGAGATTTCCGGACGACTCCCTACCTGTTGACGATCTCAGTCACTGCTGTTTTGCCATCCGAGTTGGTGGCAGGGGCTGGGGGAGGCTTTGTGGAGGGCTGAAAGCTGGAGTTGAGGAAGCCGTCTGTGAAGTAGGGGTCTTCCTCCAGATCTCTGTGGCACCAACAAATGAATGAACAAGTGCAGGGGTGTGGGGGGCCGTGAGGGTCCCACCGGCCTGAGGCCTCCCAGAGGCACAGGGTTCCACTTACAGGGTGTCCTCGTAGCTCTCGGGCTCGGGTGAGCCCCGGGCCACATAATGGCGGCCCTCCAGGTTGCACAGGACCAGGCCGTGGATGACCTGCTCATGCGGCTTCTGCAGCAGCTCCTCGAATAACCGCAGGGTGGTGATGCTGATCTGGGTAAGAAAGGATCAGCAGGACCCCGGTTCTAGTGGTCCTGGGAATTGCTCACTCGGATAAGAAAAGAGCAGGCGGCAGGTTTTGGGGGGCGTGGGGGGCAGTCCTTTGGGGGGAGTGCTGGTCTGGGAGCCGGAAGTCTGCCCAGTTCTGGTTCTATTACTAATTTGATGTGTGTTATCAAGTGAGCCAACTGGCTTTTCTGTCTGTTTCCATGGCTGAAAAACGGAACAGCAGACTCACCTCGCTCGGAGTAGCTATAAGCCTCAAACAAGCCAAGTGAATATGAAATAGGTTTGGAAAACAGAAAATCACACGGCAAGCATCTGGTCACAGAAAATCACCGTGTGACAAAAGCAGCCACTGTTTTTGGGGGGTACGCATTTCAGTGCCTCAAAGGCAGTACCGCCTGGTAAGCTGATGCAAGAGGGCTGAAACACTCAGGGGACCCCTTGGGCAGGGGTTGGTTGGTGGGTGCCAGAAGGACGACACCCCCCTCCCCCGCCTCACCTCGTCCGAGAGGTGGTCGCAGTGCCCGATGAGGTGAGCACACAGAGTGCGGGGGCCGTCGTCAGGGGCTGCAGGCTGTGGGTCTGTGCCCAGGAGGAAAGCCACAGCCTCTCGCAGCAGCACAGGGGAGCGGAGCTGACGCAGCATGGCCGTGAGCAAGGCGGTGGAGGTCAGGACACTCTGCTCAGAGCTACAGGGAGAGAGCGCTGAGCCAGGCCTGGGGGCTGAGAGCCAGGTTGGGGAGGGCCAGGAGTAAATGAATGTGGGGGTGACAGAACCCTTTCCTGGTTTCCTTCTGCCTTGGCTGGTATTTCTCTGTTTGCTCCCTAGCTCTCCTGAGGTCCTGGAGTCAGCCCACGTGGCTCTGAGCCACCTGTGTGTCAGAAGGCCAAGCCCGGCAAACATTAACCATCGACCTGCAGACCCACGTTACTCTGGCCAAGGAATTCCTGGCCTTAGGGATGAGTAGGGGCCCGGTGGGGCGAGCAAATGGGTCCAGACCATGGCCAGCCCCAGGGAATGGGACACAGACTTACACATGCAGGAGGTGGGGCTGCAGAATCTCCACGAAAAACTTCTCAGCCACAGCCTTTGCCAAGGCCTCGGCAACCACCTAGGTGCCAAGGACATGTCTTAAGCACGTTTTACCTCTGTGACAGTTTTCCACTGAGAAACTACTGTGTCCTTGCACAGTGTCTAACACAATAGGCAGGCCAAGGGCCCTGCCTAGCTTCTGCGAGGCCCACTGGGTCCTCAAGGTGGACACAGGGAAGGGAGTGGGGTCAACCGCAGGGCACCCCCACAGAGGGTCCCACTGGGGCCCACCCCTGCTCACCGTATGTGCCTCTGTGATGAGGTGGTCACAGTAATCAAACCAGCCCAAAAAGGCAGCCAAGGCCTCCTTGCCAGGGAAGGAAGCGTCATCAGATGGGGCACTGGGCAACCTGAGGGGGAGCAAGGGAGGGGCTGTGAGGCGTGCCTCAGGGATGTTCCAGAATCTGGGCCCCTTCTCCCTGCAACCTCTGTGGCCAGTGCTGGGCGGAAGAAGGAAGGGGGAAGCAAAAGTGATGTTCCCTTGGAGGGAAAGCCCGTGAGGATGGGCTGTACCCTCCGGAAGAGGGTGGCCAGCTGCGGTCCCCAACCCTCCTAGAAAACCAGAGGACAGGGAGGGCTTCTAGCCACTTAAAAAATAGCCCAACCCAGCTTCCCCCCACCCCCAAGCGCCTACCTCCAGCTGATGCCCTCTAGTGCAGCAATGTCCGCTGGGTCCAGGAAGGGGGGCAGGGACTGGTACAGCTGGCAGAGGTGCTCGGCGACAACACGGCAACAAGGGCTGCTCTGCACCAGGTAGGCGGCAGCGGCAGGCCAAGCCACACTTACCAGGAGCAGCAGGTTCTCCTGCGCCTTCAGAGCCACCCGACCTTTCTAGGGGACAGGGTCATGACTTCAGGACATACATCTGAACCCCTGGATCCCCTCCCAGCGGTTCGCCCTCCTTGTCCCTGCCCACTGTCTTGGCGGCTGGCACCTTGCTCTTGCACAGCCCGATCAGCGCGGTGATGAGGTTGCTTTCCCCAACCGCTCCTTCTGGCTCCTCTGTCTCAGCAGGCAGCTGTGAGCTCAAGTCCCGGGCCCTGCACGGACTCATGTCAGGAGCATTGCTGCAGGAGTGGTCCTTGTCCTGCACACTGGCGGCCTCTCTAGGCAGGGTGGTGGGCTCTTTGGATGACTTCTTCCTACTGACCATCTTTTTGCCCTGCAAAGAAGGTTGGGTGAAGCCATGTCACAGTGCAGACCATTGCCCAGGATGCTCCACTGGGAAGGCAGGATGTGCTGGCTGTCAGGGCCTCAGCAGGGAGCTGGAGGGGAAGCTGCCTGGGCGCCTGAGGACCTGCTCCACCCTCTGCTTCCTCAGAAGGGCCTCAGAGGCCTGCCCTGCAGTCTGGGCCCTCCCACCCCTGTTCCTCACAGAGGTGCTCACTTCCAGGATGTAGGTGAGCAGGGCTGGGTCCTGTTGGATCTTGGAGCAGAGCACGGTGGTGAACTGTACCTCCTCCTTTTCTGTTTGGGATCCAGGAACTGTCCCACCAAGTCGGAGAAGCTTCTAGAAAGGAAGAAAATTAAAAACAGAGAAGAATGGGGTAGCAAGGAAGAGAGAAGGCTTAACCCTCAGACCCTCCCTGGTCTCCTGGTCTCTCACCTGCACAGGCTTGTGGACGTTGAGGTAATGCAAGAGCGGGTGCTGTACCTGGGCCAGAACCTTGCTGAAGAACTGGAACACCTGCTGTCGCATCCCTGGGGGGTACTGAGGGTCAAGGTGCCCGTCAGAAGGTGGAGCCCACCCACTGCAGGCAATGCTCCTCCTACCCCACACCGGGCCACAGCACCAGCCTCCCACGATCAGTGCTCAGAGGGCACCAGAACCCACGATCAGTGCTCAGAGGGCACCTTTTCTGGAAGCCTCCTTCACTCACTACAGACAGGCACACCTCGAACACTTCACTTCCAGACCACCGCAATAAAGCAAATATTACAATCAATGAATACTGCAATAAAGCAAGTCAAATATATTTTTTGGCTTCCCAGTAAATATAAAAACTACATTTATGCTATACTGTGGTGTATTAATTATGCAATTGCATTATATCTAAAAGGCAACGTATATAACCTTAATTTAAAAATACTGCTACAGGGCACCTGGGTGGCTCAGTGGGTTAAAGCCTCTGCCTTCAGCTCGGGTCATGATCCCAGGGTTCTGGGATGGAGCCCCACATCGGGCTCTCTGCTTGGCGGGGAGTCTGCTTCTCCCTCTCTCTCTGCCTGCCTCTCTGTCTACTTGTGATCTCTATCAAATAAATAAATAAAATCTTTAAAAAAAATATTGCTACAAACTGCTAACCATCATCTGAGCCTTCAACGAGTCATAGCCTTTTTGCTGGTGGGGGCTCTCGCCTCCATGCTGGTGGCGCTGACTGATCAGGGTGGTTGTTGCTGAAGGTGGGAATAGCTGTGGCAATTTCTTAAAATCAGACAACAGTGAAGTTGGCCACATGGACTCTTGCTTTCATGAATGACTTCTCTGTAGCACCCCAAACTGTTTGATACATTTTACTCCCAGTAGAACTTCTTTCAAAACTAGAGCCGGTGCTCTCCAACCTGCGGCCGCTGCTCTCTCGACTATGTTCACACAACGCTCTCAACAATCTTGTCCTCTCAACAATCTTCCCAGCGTCCTCCCCAGGAGCAGATTCCATCTCAGGAACCTTCGTTCCCTGCTCATCCACAAGCAGCAGCTCCTCATCTGTTTGTGATCATGAGAGGGAGGCCATTCAGTCCCATCTTCGGGCTCCACTTCCGGTTCCAGTTCTCTCGCCCTTTCCCCCACACTTCCTCCCTGAAGTCGTGAACCCACCACAGTCATCCGTGAAGGTTGCGATCAAATTCTTCCAAATTCCGGTTCATGCTGATATTTTGACCTCTTCCCAGGAATCACGAATGCTCTTATGGCACCTGGAACGGTGAATCCTTGCCAAGAGGCTTTCAGTTTACTTTGCCCAAATCCATCGGAAGAGTCACTACCCGTGGCAGCCACAGCCTTACACAAGGTATTTCTTAAATAGTAAGACTCGAGAGTCCAGTGATCCTCGATCCACAGGCTGCAGAATGGAGGCTGTGCTGGCAGAAACGATCATCTCGTTCTACAGCTCCCTTAGAGCTCATGCCCAACCATGCGCCTTGACAGGGAGCAGTCGTGCTGGGAAAAGGAGACTTTTTTCTGAGCGGTAGGTCTCAACAGTGGACTTAAAATATTCCAGAAACCGGGCGCCTGGGTGGCTCAGTGGGTTAAGCCGCTGCCTTTGGCTCAGGTCATGATCTCAGGGTCCTGGGATTGAGTCCCGCATCGGGCTCTCTGCTCAGCAGGGAGCCTGCTTCCCTCTCTCTCTCTCTCTGCCTGCCTCTCTGTCTACTTGTGATCTCTCTCTGTCAAATAAATAAATAAAATCTTTAAAAAAAAAAATTCCAGAAACCATGTTGTAATCTAAAGAGCTTTCGCTCAGGTTTCGTTGTCCTGTTTACAGAGCACGGGCAGAGTGGACTTAGCGCGATTCTTCAGGACTCTGGATTTCCAGAATGGTCAATGAGCACTGGCTTTGACTTCAAGTCACCAGCGGCTTGAGCCCCGAATGAGAGTCAGCCTGTCCTTTGAAACTTCGAAGCCGGGCGCTGACTTCCCCGCTCCAGCTGTGAGAGTCCTAGCTGGCGTCTCCCTCCAAGAGAGGCCGTTTTATCCGCACTGGAAATCCGTCACTCAGTGCAGCCTCCTTCATCACCTATCCCTGCTGGATCTCCTGGAGAACTTGCGGCAGCGTCTACACCAGCACTGGCTGCTCACCTTGCACTCTGACGTCAGAGATGGCTTCCTCCCTTACACCCCACGGACCCACCTCCACCAGCTTCCGCCTTTTCTCCTCCAGCTTCCCCACGGCTCTCAGCCTTCAAAGAATTGGAGAGTCGGGGCCTTGCTCAGGATCAGGCTTTGGCTTAACAGAATGTCGAGGCTGGTGTGCTCATCTATGCAGACCACTCAGACTTTCTCCACCTCAGCCATAAGGCTGTTTTGCTTTCTTACTGTTCATGTGTCCACTGGAAGGCACTTTGAATTTCCTTCAACAACTTTTCCTTTGCATTCTCAACCTGGCTGCTTGTTGTGTGGACCAGCTTTTGGCCTATCTTAGCTTTTGACATGACTTTCTCACTAAGCTAAATCATTTCTAGCTTTTGATTTATTTATTTTATTTTATTTTATTTTTAAAGATTTTATTTATTTGACAGACAGATCACAAGTAGGCAGAGAGAGAGAGGGGAGGAAGCAGGCTCCCCACTGAGCAGAGAGCCCGATGCAGGGCTCGATCCCACGACCCTGAGATCATGACCTGAGCTGAAGGCAGAGCCCTTAACCCACTGAGCCACCCAGGCGCCCCTATTTATTTATTTATTTGACAGATAGAGATCACAAGTACGCAGAGAGGCAGGTAGAGAGAGAGGGGGAAGCAGGCTCCCTGCTGAGCAGAGAGCCTGATATGGGGCTTGATCCCAGGACCCTGAGATCATGACCTGAGCCAAAGGCAGAGGCTTAACCCACTGAGCCACCCAGGCGCCCCTAGCTTTTGATTTAAACTGACAGACGTGTGACTCTTCCTTTCACTTGAACACTTAGAGGCTACTGTAGGGTTATTAGTTGGCGAGATTTCAATATCGCAGTGTCTCAGGGAATAGGGAGGCCCAAGGAGAGGGAGAAAAAGGGGGAATGGCTGGTCAGTAGAGCTGTCTTAGAGAGGCATTATTTGTGGTGCTCCCAATTACAATAGCAACATCAAAAATCACTGATCACATATCACTGTAAGAATATAATAACTAAGTTTGAAGTATTACCAGGAATTACCAACATGTGACACAGACATGAAGTGAACACACACTGTCGGAAAATGGCACCAACAGACTTGCTCAAGGTACGGCTGCCCACAAAGTCCAACTTGTAAAAAATGCAGTCCTTGTGAAGCACTGTCAAGTGGAGCGCAACTGAGTAAGTTGTGCCCGTCTTTGAAACTGGCCTCCCCCACACTGTCAGGTCCCCGTCCCGCTTCATCACTCTCCATAACCCCGTCATTGTTGAACAGACCACGCGTGGTCTCCCCTGATGACCCACCTCTCGCTGACTAGAATTTCTGTATTTTAACTGCTGCTGTGTCCGCAGCACCAAGGACCCTGCCTGGCCCACGGCTTGTTCTCAGCACATCTTCGCTGAATGAACTCTGACTGAACAATGGGAGTGTGTCCACCACACGATGACAGGAACATGGGTGGACGAGCCAGGAACGCAGGGGCTCCCCGGGGTCCTGCCCACCTCAGCCTTGCCCAGTGTGCACAGGGTCTCCAGGATTTTGTGCTGCAGTAGGTACTCCAGACAGGGCCCAGCCTCGCCAGCTGCCGTCTGCTGCCTCTCCTCGTACACCAGGATGTCCAGCATCTGCTTCAGCCGCCAGGGGATATCCGTTTTCTTGGCGGGGGTGTTTTCATCTAATAGGGATTCAGGAAACAAGGGTAAGTGGGGTGAAGAGAGGTTCTCTGGCTTCATGAGGTCAAGGCCCTGGGGCCTGTAGGTGGAGAGAGACTGAGGGTACGCCTGGATTAAGGCCTGGTTCACAGTGGGCTTTGAATGAAGACCAGAGGAAATGGAAATTTACAGCTGGTGCCTCTATATTTAAAAAGACAAAAGACCTTTTGGCTGAGGCCCAGGATACAGCCCTCTGGCTGGGAATGTGTGCATACTCTAGAGAGGGAGACGGCATCATTTTTTCTGCTAATCCTGGGGCGTACGGGAGTGAGGGTACATTGCTCTGGGCCTGAGAAGCTGTGGGCTTGGGGGTCTCCGTCCTAGAATGTGAAGTGGTCTCAGAGCAGCTTTCCAAGAGGCAAAGCAGCTTTCCTCCTGTCCTTTTTATACTCACAGGAGGCAGAAAGGAGAAACATTTTTTTTTTTTTTTTTACATAGGAGAAGAAAATCCGTGCATGACCACGAGTTCAGAGGCAAACCTGCTCCACTGTGCAAAGGTCTTGATGGAGAAGCAGAGGCTTTCTTGGTGAGAGTCTCAGAGACTGTATAGAGCAAGTTTTAGTGCTTTGGGACAAGCCTTGGAGCACCCCCTAGCTTATTTTGAAAGCATTGGCTTTTGAACAACAGCTCACCTCACCCATCCCTGTACCTATGGTCTAGGGAGTGTTCTGGAAATTAATAGAATCAGGTTCCGGTGAAGCCCCAGGGGGGACCTGAGTCAGTTCAGGATCTTTTCCTATATCCTGGTAGACTGGGGCTCTCTGTCAAGAGATCTTCAGTCTAAAAGGTACAGACTTCCAATTAAAAAGTAAGTCAGTCCTGGGCGCCTGGGTGGCTCAGTCGATTGGGTGTCCCAGTCCTGATTTTGGCTCTGGTCATGATCTCAGGGTTGTGAGAGCGAGCCCTGCATCAAGCTCTTGCTGGGCATGGAGCCTGCTTAAGATTCTCTCTCTTTCCCTCTCCCTCACACCCCCCTGCTAAAAAACAAATAACAAAACAAAAACAAAAACAAAAAAAAATAAATAAGTCCTGAGAATGTTATATACACACAGTGATTATAGTTAAAGTATTGCATATTTGAAAATTGCTAAAGAGTAGATCTTAAAAGTTGTCATCACAAGAAAAAAAATGGTAACTAGTTAGGGTGATGGATATTAACTAGACTTACTGTATTGATCACTTCACAATATATCCATATATTGAATCAATAGGTTGTACCCCCAAGTTACATGATATAATGTTACATCAACTATACGTCAAAAAAAGAAAAAAAGCTCTTCAGTTTAAAGCCATCGCTCTCCACGGGGGGTGATTCTGCCCCCAGGACAATTTGGCCATGTTTGGAAAGACACGGTTATGGCAATGGAGAGCTGCTGCTAACCGTTCCACCGCACACCCCCAGAAGCCCACCGCCACAGAGAATGACCAAACACAAACATTAGCTGTGCCAAGATCGCAGAACCTGGTCTAAAAAGGACACTTAGGGGGTCCCTCAGAGTGTCCAAAGACTGCTTTTTAATTTCTCGGGCTGGCTCAGGCTGGAAATCAAGTCTTCAGGAAGGGGGTAGGCTGGAATCAAACCCCATCGTGAACCAGGATGTAGAAAGCCGGGGATGCAGGACAGGGTTACCTGGCAACCAGCACGTATCCACGAATACCAACGTACTGACTACAAAGCAGCCAATCGGATTCCGCCCCCTCTGGGAGTGCTCCTGCTGGGCTCAGAGCACCCGAAGCTTTGGCTGTCTGGGGTGTCAGCTGGGGGAGAAGGATCCGGACATGTTACATGCCTTGGCTTTTGTTCTCCTCCTACCCTAGATTTCCATAAGGGAAATGCCCTCTAAGTTAGCTCAGGGAAAGGAGGAGGAATTGATCCCACCTCTTTCCTTTTCATCAGTAAGCCCTGGGCATGGGCCCTGAGGACCGCAGGCCTGGACACTCTGCCTAGCTGGAAGCCAGGGGCAAGTGGGGCTCACCCTCTGCCTTGCAGTCAGGTCAGTGACATGCCCGACTTCCTAGTCCCCACTCCTATTTCACACAGTTCCTCTCCCAAAAGGTCAGGGTGGGGCCAGCCCCCACTCTCCACTCCTGTGCAGCCCTTGTCACCCTCTCCAGGCCACATGCGTCTCTGCCTGGATGGTGACACAGCCCACACCTTCCTCCCCACTGCCTGTGGGGCTCTCCTGGCCAGGGGAGACCGGGTCCCACCTGTACTTTCAATGTAGTAGTGCGTGATGCCCTTCCAGTGCTCCACGAAGGCCTCCAGCAGGTCAATGCTGGGCTCCCGCTGTGAAGAGAGCAGAGACACAGTGTAAGGAGCTGCCACTGTGACCACGGGCTCCAGTGCCACCGCTGCTCATCACAATGGATGGCCCACCATCTACCAGGGCTCAGGTCAGTGCCAGGCCCTGGAGGAGGTGCCAGATTCTCAAAGGGGGCAGGAACACGTTTTCTCCAGGACAATCTCCTGGCCCCTCTCCCAGCCTCCCTCTCTCCCAGAGAGGCTGTGCTCCTGCTACACGTCATGATTCCACAGTCCCTGGCCTGGGAGAGCTAAGAACATCGGTACGGAAGATGGACACAGAAACAGATCATCTCAAGATGGTCATGCTACCAGAGAGGGATGTTGAGGAAAACAGGAGAGCACCCTCAAAACAACAAAATCAAAATGACACACAGGGAAAACATGGCAAAGACAAAGCTTTCCGGCCCCTCCCTGTCCAAGAGTCTGCACAAATCTGTGTTCGAGGCCATCGAAAGAATTCGTTCAGCCAGATGGGTAATGTTAGCATAATATTCATGAGGTGTCTTACTTCGAACATGCCTGCATCTTTTGTCCAAGGCCGCAGGCTGCCAGAGTTGCTGGGAAGGCACAGCCTGCAGCCCCAAGGAATTCTATTTCTGCTATGAGCAATGCCCCTTTTCCAGAAGTTACCTCTTCGTCTCCATACCGGTAACAACTACTTTCCCTGAGAACTCCAGAAAAGAGCATTCGTTCTCTTTCCTTGCAGAGTAAATGTTTACAGGGAAAAAATACGTAATCAAATAGTCCCTCACCACAGGTGCTCATTTCTACCTCTCTGTCTCTGTTCAGGCCACTCCTCGGCCCAGGAGGCCCTCTGTCACCCTACCCTTGCCTAGAGCCAGACGGCCACCCATGAGGTCCAGCTGGTCCAGCTAAGGGCCACTGGCTCCACAAAGGCCTCAGCAGAATTCTTGGATGCATCTCTTTCTAACCTCACACTTCACAGCATCACAGAACTGTCTACATAGGTTCTTGGCCTTTTGGCAAAGATCAAGTGCAGAACTGTCTACTCCTGATTCATTCAGGAAATCTCTTTTGAGTGCCTACTGTGTACAAGACACCGTGCTAGGTGCCGTAAGCAAAACAAGGCCATCGGAGACCCAGTGCCAGGGAGAACAGAATATGAAAAACGCCCCAAATAACTCAGCTGTAGGAAGTAGTGTGAGAATGCAGGGCAGGTGGAAAGTAGCCCATGGGAAAAGGCACTAGAACAGAGAAGGCTTTACTGAGGTTATCCTGAAACTAAAACATGAGGAAAGCAGTCCCAGGCCAATAATCAGAGATGAAGGCAAGACAGTTCCTGCGGAAAGAACTCTACAGAGTGTGTCTGGGACAAGGATGGATTGATGAGTGTGGGGGCCTGAGAACATCGAGCCACTGGGTCAGGATTGGTTCCTGCAGGCGGAGGAGGGAGGGGTGGGGGGAGGGAGTTCAAGGACATTTGCTGAGCAGAGTCCTCGGGCAGTTGCGTGTAGGAGATGAAGGCAGGAAGACTGGTTTAGAAGGCCATGAAGACCGGAGGAAGAAGCAGTAACACCAAATCAGAGGCCCTGAAACTCTCCCCACAACCCTCGTCTGCCCAGGGAATCTTATCTTCTTTCATGGGTAGTTGTTGGGGGGCATGACCCTTACTGGAGCTTCATCTCCCACGGTCATTCCAAAAACACCATCCAAATGGAGCCAACGCGTCAAACCATGTCCTGTGTGAGACTATGACTGGGGGATTAGAGTCTTCCCTTCTACTAGACTGTGAGCTCCCTGAGGGCCCAGGTTCTGCGAGTTCTAGCTCTGCGTGCCCCTAAAGGGCTCTGCCACTAGTGACTACATCACATTCGTATTTACTCAATATCTCAGCAAACTCCTATAAACATTCTTTCCATAGTTCCTTGTCTCAGGAAAGCCCTCCGGGCCTTGACTGGCACCAATCATCTTCCAGAGCTATGTTGAGCTCTCATCTAGCCCCAAAATTCATTTACAGTCTCCTGAACCGTTACTCTGGGCTAACACTCAAAATGAACAATCCAGTGAGGACAGGAGACACAGGAGAACACAGATGGTCAGCAAACAGATTGTAATGAAACAGACTGTTAGAACAAAGCAAGGGGATCATCTTCCCCTGAATCTACTATTAATTATTATAGCTCCAAAGCCATTGTACCAAATGATTTATGTTAAAGAGAAATTATTAAATTACTAATTATCTTTGTTAATAATAATAAAGAATACTTTCTAAAAGAACTCTAACGATCACTATTCTGTTATGTCAGAAGAGGGCAGGAAGGAGCACTCTTCCTCCCTTAACAAGGAGTCAAGGAACCAGCTGGGGTCTTAACCTGGAGATGGAGGCAGGGAAAGACCTATGCCCCTGATTTTGGGGGTGAGGGGGGAAGAGGGGTACCCTCTCTCCTGACAGTTACATGGAGCCAGCCAAACTTCCCCGGCACTGTCTATGTAGCCTATACTCAGGGGCCAAAAATCACCTGCCTAAAAATGCCTCCTTTGATCACCAGTCCCTCCTCCAGTCCCTGAGGCTGAAATGCCCACACTGGAAGCATTAGAAAGTCACTTCTCAGGACTAAGGCTCTCTCTGGCCTGTCTACCTGCCCTATGTATGGAGCTTTCCCTGAGGGGTATGAAGTGGTTCATCACATCAATTTCTAAGATGACAGCTGTTTTGACTGGAGACAAGGAGGAGGGGAAGGCAAGATTATTCTAGAACCCCTCCCTAGGTGGGCTGCCTGAGACCTCAGGAAGGGCGGGCTGGGACAGGTGGAGGAGAGGTGGGAGGAGCTTTTTCCTTTCTTCACAAGTCTGATTAAGGCTGAGACTGTTCTCATTTATAATAAGCTCTCTTTTGGGGGGAGAAAGGAGGCGGAACACAGGGTTGTTTCTCCTGAGCAAGTCTGACAGAATATAGCAAATCGATCAATCAGAGGAGGGCTTCCACTTTGAGACAAAAGAACTGTTAACTTTACGGACAGATTCCTGGCAGGGTTACTTTGAACAGAAGGCATTCGGCCTCATTCTATCTAAACTGCACTTTTATCTTGCTCAATGAGGTGAACCCGCCTCTGACCAGCCTTCAACCCCAACAGAAATGGCAAACACAAACGCTCCCTCATATGGCTGCCCCAAGATCCCCCCATTGCTGGCCGCTCCTGACTCAAGGTCACTCTGGCCAGCGCGCGTGCGGTGTGAGACAACATTCTGGATACGCCCTGTGGCCCGCGGCAGGCTCCTTCCTGGGCCAGGCGCCCACCCTCCCCCGGACTGTATATATACAGGCTTCCTGGGGACGTGGCCGATCTGGGCCGGAACTTCCCAAGTGAAGGCTGAGAACACACCGGCCTGACTGAGGTCTTGGGGTTGTCTGGGGGCTCAGAAGGAAGGGAAGAGGCATCTATTTTGCCAGCCCAGGTGACCAGGAAGGGAGGAGCGTAGCGGGGGGAGGGGGAGGAGGACGGCAAAGAGCCTGGGCTAGGGACCTTGGGGAAGAAACTACTGGGTGACAAGCGAGCCCTCTAGCACAGAAGAGTTTGGGAACTGGGAGCAGGAAAAATAGGAAGCCATTTCGGGAAAACGGTTAGGGGCTGGGTTGATCTGGAGAGAAGCTGGGAGTAGGCGCGATCGGCAAAGAGGCCACGGGAAGCAGGAAGGGCTGAGCGGGAGGGGCGCGACCGCGGAGAGAGGGGGCTCCGCGAAAGGCCGCCGCGGCCTGGGTGGGGGTCCCTTCCCCAAGACGGGCCCGCGCCCTCCGCGGGCCTGCCCGCCGGCTCCTCCCCCGGCCCCGCGCCCGCCCTTCCGGCCCAGGCTCCGCGCGCCGGGGCCTCCCCGGCCTCACCGCCCCCACGGCCTCCTGCAGCAGCGCCCCGAGCCGGCTCAGCATGGTGGCGGCCCGGCCCAGCTCGGCTCCCGGGCGGCGGTGGCGGCGGTAGCGGCGGTGCGGCGGCGGAGCTCGCAGGCGGAGGCGACCCCGGAGGCGCGGCGAGGGGGCGGGGCCCTGCCTGGTCCGCCCCGCCCCGGCCCGCTCGGAGCACCCACCGCCCCCAGCCCGGCCCGGGCCCCCGCCCGCGCTGTCGGGAAGGAGGCCGGGCGCAGACGTCGCCCGGCGGGGGAGAGCAAGTTGGGGCGGGGGTGCGCCCTGGAGCCCGGCGCCGCAGCGGTGGGGCGCCGCGGGGCAGCAGGTTCACGCGGTCCGGTGGGGGGAGCCAGGTGGCAGCGAGAAGGGCTAGTGGGACCAGGAGTTTCTTCCACGAGGAATGGGAAGGTTTGTGGGTCCTGTAAGTCTCTAGACGCCCCTGCCCCCACCCCCTATCCGATACAGTAGCCACTGTCCGCACGTTGCTGTCGAGCCCTGAAACCAACTTGCTAGTCCAAATAGAGAGGCGCTGAAGAGTACCCCGGATTCTGAAGACTCGCTACAGAAAGAAGATATAAAATAGCTCACTCGTGATGTTGTACGTTGACGACTTGTTGAAATTGTAACATACTCGATATATTGGGTTAAATGAAGTATATTATGAAAATTAATTTCACTTGTTGCTTGTTCCTTTGCGTGGATACAGCACTGGTCCAGAGGTCCTGCAGAGGAAGTGACAACCGGCCGGGCTATCCCAGCAGCGCCCAGGAAGGAAATAGAAGGTGGGTCTCCCACGTCAAGAGGCCCCCTGCCCGGGAAAGTTGGGCCCAAGAATTACGCAGGTAGAGCGGGAATGTCCAGGACATTTCCTGGAATGTCCAGAGCGACAGCTCGGCCTGTTTAAAGCCCATTCCCGCCACCCTCTGGAATGAAAAGATGTTCTGAGGAGAGGGCTGGTATCTGTTCAAAATTTATTTCTGCTGACCACAGACGTATGATGAGAGGGTGGGGGTTTAATGTGACACTAGAAAGGAGGGTAGCCTCTACCGCAAAGCTGTAGGACCCAGAGTTGTGGGGTCTTGGGATTTCACTGCACTAGCCCTGCTACTTTGGGCCTCATTCATGGGTCAGGCCGAGGCCCAGGAGACGCGGACCGCTCCAGAGACGGCTGTGTACCCTGGAGTAGAGCCTGGAGTCCGGCCTGAGTCACCACGGGTGGGGGCAGCGTTGTGCCCAGCCCAGATGTGGCTAGCTTTTGGATCTCAGTTTTCAGACAGCTGCCTGGGAAAAAGACACTTTTTTTTTGTTTTGTTTTGAAAGATTTATTTATTCATTCATTTGACAGACAGAGATCACAAGTAAGCAGAGAGGCAGGCAGGCAGAGAGAGGAGGAAGCAGGCTTCCCGCTGAGCAGAGAGCCCGGATATGGGGCTGGATCCCAGGACCCCGAGATCACGACCCGAGCCCAAGGCAGAGGTTTTAACCCACTGAGCCACCCAGGCGCCCCAAAAGACACGTTTTTAAATAGCCCATCTGCAAATGGGCAGCTGTGAGGAACGCTATGGGAAACGAGAGGTTTTAAGGCCAGAATGTATAAAAACAAAGGGAAGAAACGGGCCTGTTTTGTGTCCAGAGAGGTGACTGGGAGAGTTGGAGACCTGAGTCCAGTCCTGCGCTGTGGTTTTCTGGGCCTGCTTCTGCAGAGATCAGGGTAGCGGCTGCATGGATTAAATCCGCTTTCCCCAAGGAACTCTAGGGGATAGTGAGAGTGCATTAGGAATCCATAGCCTTTCATTTGGCTTCACTTAAAATTTTATCTTAAAAGTTCAGTGGATACATTTATATGTGTTATATGCCAAAAGCATTAGAGCCCACCGATGTACAGGTGACCCTTGGACAACATGGGTTTGGGCAGCACACGTCCGCTGATACATGCGGTTAGTGCAGTACTCAAACTGTATTTTCTCTCCCTTGTGATTTTCTTTTTTAAAAAATATTTTTAAAGTTTAATATTATTATTATTTATTAAACTCTACACCCAACATTGGGCTTGAACTCCCAACTCTGGGATTAAGTGTTGCATGCTCTTCCAACTGAGCCAGCCAGGTGCTCCTCTCCCTTATGATTTTAATATTTTCTTTTCTCGGGGCGCCTAGGTGGCTCAGTTGGGTAAGCATCTGGCTTCAGCTTAGGTGATAATCCCGGGGTCCGGGGATCAAGTCGGCATCAGGCTCCCTGCTCATTGGGGAGTTGGGTTCTCCCTTCCTTCTGACTCTCCCCCTGCTTGTGCACTCTCTCTCTCTCTCAAATAAATAAATAAATAAATAAATAAATAAATCTGTAAAATTCCTTTTTCTCTAGCTTACTTTACCGTAAGGATACAGTATGTAGTGCATATAACATGTGAAACGTGTTTATCGACAGTTTATATTAGTAAGGCTTCTGGTGAACAGGCTAACAGCAGTTAAATTTGGGAGCAGTCAGAAGTTATATGCAGATTTTTAAAGATTTTATTTATTTGACAGAGAGAGACACAGCGAGAGAGGGAACACAAGCAGGGGGAGTGGGAGAGGGAGAAGCAGGCCTCCCGCTGAGCAGGGAGCCCGATGTGGGACTCAATCCCAGGACCCCGGGATCATGACCCCAGCCGAAGTCAGATGCTTAACCAACTGAGCCACCCAGGCGCCCCATAGATGCACATTTCTGACTGTGTTTTCTAACAACTCCCATGTTGTTCAAGGGTCAGCTGTATTTAATGTCTGCCAGATTAGCTCATTTGGGAGAAAACTTTTGAATAAAGCCATTTCTTCTGTCAGTTTAAATGAGGGCCAAGGCTATTGCTGGGTGAATCATTTTAAATGCACGAGTCACTAAGCCCAGCTCCAAGAAGAGGGGACATTGACACTACGCTAGCTCCATGGGAGGAGTGCGAATGGGTTTGTGTGCATTTCTAAACCATCACAATTTTGTAACTACTTATCTGTGTGATCAGGATTTTCCTGAGCCGGTGCAGCCAAATACAGTAGTGAATGAGCTCTCATGTGATAAAGAGGCAACTGTTGTCTATAAATCTTAATTTAAAAATGTTTTAGTCATCGAAGCTTCTTTGTTCTCATTCATTTTCATCATTATTAGCTATAAAATTTAACTTGGAAATGTATTCCAATTTTTTAACATTTTTTTAAAGATTTTATTTATTTATTTGACAGAGAGAGAGAGCGAGATCACAAGTAGGCAGAGAGGCAGGCAGAGAGAGGAGGAAGCAGGCTCCCCGCTGAGCAGAGAGCCCGATGCGGGCCTCGATCCCAGGACCCTGAGATCATGACCTGAGCCGAAGGCAGAGGCTTTAACCCACTGAGCCACCCAGGCGCCCTGTATTCCAATTTTTTAATTAAGATATAATTTTTTTTAAAAAGTTTGCTACTGAAAAGGTTTGGAAACTGCTGGACTAAGTGATCACCAAGGTTTGGCATCCTTTCACATGCATATGCTTGTATACAATCTGTGTGTGTGTGTGTGTGTGTGTGTGTGTGTGTGTGTTGTGGGAAGGAGCACTGAGAGATTCTCCTAAGGCTTTGTCTTAGGGACCCAGCTCCACTTCAAGTCTCTCCACATCTCAAGAACTTAAAATCCTTTGAGTCTTAGCCTGCGGTCTGCCTCACCGGGAGCATTTCCCAGTGACCTGTGACCAAACGCTGCCTCAGCACCCAGGGAGCTCTGTGGACGGGGGGTGCTGGCCTCCCACCACTGTATCCCCAAGTACTGGAACAGGGTAAGCTCTCTAAACATTGGCTGACCACCTAAAACTGGGTAACTATTCCTCTTTCCCCCCCACCCCCACCTCCTCATCTGCCCTCCCTGCTGCCCCTTGGGGAAGGGGCAGTCCTTATATTGGGGAATTCCTGGGTTAGCAGTCAAGAAACTTGCATGTAGCTTCAGGATTCAAATGAACAGCCTCTTCTAGAACGTTCTCTTTCGCTGAAAGGGGTGAAATGATCTTCACTGAAACCCACACACGATGTCCTCCTTCTGATCTTCTGGTCAGATCTGCACCCTCTCCAGCCACATCCACACTCCAGGTCCCTGTCTGCACCCCCTGGGAGGCCTTAGCCAAGTCACCCAAGACCATGGGACCCCCTCGTCTGTCAGCCTCCACTGAACCCGGGGTCCACTAGATCTCACCCATTGTTTTTCCACTGCTTAGTTTTTCCTGTCTGCTCTTCGGTAGTCCCCTCACCCCTACTTCTCCACGGCTGACCTCCTCTGTGGTTTGGCCTCCCCGCAGACTAGGAGCATCGGGCCATGAAGGGGGCAATCACGTCCCGTGCTGATGAGCTGGACTACCAAGCTGAGCGCTCGGGACCTCAGCACAGGACAAGCCGGCTTTGCCCCTGACTTTCTGCCCTTCCTCTGCATCTCCGTGCTCACCCAGCCCCTGAACAGGAGGCAGCAGCTGGGACCCTGCAAGGCTAGCCCTGCTTCCGGGGCCCGGGGTTGAGGGAAGGGCAGCGGGTCTCTGCTGTTTCCCCCTCTTCCAACCCTTGGTGCTTCCCATCTGAACCCTCACTCCCAAGACTTCCCTCAGCCTGGCATCACCTCTCCCTCTTACCCAGATCTGGTGGCTCAGAAAGAACAAACAGATTTGGGGACCCAGTGCAACCTTTTAATTCCAAGCAGAGTCCCCCTCCCACAGCATTGTCACACACACACACACACACACACACACACACACACACACAGTGGAAAGGGATGCCAGGGTCTGGGCAGGAACAAAACCCAGACCCAGGCAAAAATATATATATAATTATATACACATATGTATCTGTAGAGAAGAGAAGCTGGGAGTGTGATTAAGGTAGGACAGAGAGTTAGGAGAGAAAGCAGCTGGGGGGTGCCCCAATAAATTACATTCTTTAGACAGCGTGGTGGGGGTGCATGGGAGTGGGCAGGACCTGGTGGCCAGGACACTCAGCCTGGCCTCATGATCCATCCAAGAGCGCCTGGAGGCCTGGGTTCTGCCCAGGACTGGGTGCTGGAAGTCTAGCTGACTTTGCCTGGAGGCTGACG